GATGGCTTCTCTGGAGCTAGGGGCGAACTGGTCACAGGTACATCAGTTGTTAGGTATGCGTGGTCTAATGTCTGACCCACAAGGTCAGATCATCCCCCCCCTCCGAGCTGCCGCGCGCGCAGCTGGTCCCCCCTTCCGAGCAGCCAGGCGCGCAGCTGCCCCCCCACTCCAACCAGCCGCGCGCGCAGCTGGTCTCCCCCTCCGAGCTGCCGCGCGCGCAGCTGGCACCTCGCTCCGAGCAGCCGCGCGCGCAGCTGCCCCCCTCCTCTAACTCGTCGCACTTGCTGGCCTCGGCGTCTCCAGTGCTTGCGTCGAGGTCACGCCTGCCCATGCCATGTGGGCCGCTGCGGATGCTGGCGCCAGGGCCAGCCCCTACTCCAGTGTGGCCGTGCACAGGGCTCCCCCCTCGGAGTCCGCAGCTCCAGACAAGTCTTCCCAAAAGAAAGGGCACGGTCGGTGGAAGTGGAGCGCCAGATGCCGGTAAGTAGTGATCATGCTTGTTTTGCTCCCAACTCATGAGTCAAGAGCTTGGTGCAAAAATATCATTAGTCTGATTGAAGCTTTGTGAAGTGCGTCAAATGGTTTTACAGCGGATTCGAAGTGCTTCACGAACACAACGCTGAAGTCAATCTCGTCGTTGCTTTGGATCTAGCGAAACTACTTCGCTAAATTGTACGTATCATTTCCTTGTTACAGGTGACGTTTCAACGAGGAAGCGTCAGAAATTGAAGACGGACGAAGCTGCTATTCCAACCGGTGAGTGTCCGACCTCTCTCCGACATTCGTTCACAGATTAGTGAGACGAGATGCGCCAAATGGGTGAAGTGCAGGCCCTCTGGCACCGGGTCGTACTGCGCTTTAGCTACCCGCTTTCTTGAAACATTCCTTGCGCTCACTTTGAAATATGCGAGCACCTTGAAATGTACACATCATAGGGCGTCCGTTACAACGAAGTTTGTGTGCCAGTCTTGCGTTTGGAACAGCAACGTTTCAAGTCATGCTTCACATCTTTGACCTTCTTCTGCTCGAACTCTCTGCCGTTCTCGGAGGCTAATTACTAATATCGGGATTCGTGTCCAGGTCCTTCTTTGCAAGCGTTGCCCAAGCAGCATCCAACCACTGTCAATAGATCAGGCCGCTTGTCATATCAACGAAAGGTGGGGTATCGCATCCCCAAGTTTCGAGATCTCCAAAGACCTGTGTCAACGAGTGCAGAGTTTCAGCTTTTCGACGAGTTGTTCTTGAAGTATACGAAGAAGACCTCCACCGATTGGGATGCGTTTGGGCGGGAGTGGCATCATCGGGCCAGCCTGTCTGCACATCGAGTAGAAGGGGCAGATAAAGCTATCCACTTTACAAGCGTTCCACTGCTTAAGCGACACCTTACTCTATCGTACAGGGCAGGTCTGCGGCGAGACTCCCTGAACAATTTCACAGCGTTGCATGCTCGTTTGCAGACAGATCCGCCGCTCTCCGTTCCGAGCGCGGCCACTCCGCACTTTCCCGGTCCATTCACGTCCTTTCACACCATGCACTTACAAACCTCATTGCACGCTGCGCACGCTCACTCATTCCACGCATTGGACCAGCCTAGAAGCTTCCAATCTTTACCACCATCGTCTGAGGTGGCTGTAAATTATGCAACTCCGATTTACAATGTTCCCTTGGTATCGAGCAATCAGGTAGGGAAGGTAGCAAAGCAGAAAGCGGCGCCAACTAACAATCGAGGAGGGAAAGGAACCAAGAGAATATGTAGAGAGTGTCGAGCAAAAGATTGCTTGGATGGATGTTCCAAGAAAGCCAAGAAAGATGCTGAAGCTCAAAAGAAAGCGGAAAGACTGAACAATAAGAAGACATCTAGTAGGTAGTCTAGATGAAGACATTTTAACATCGCTTTTGAATGATGTGTGCATGCACATGGTCACGGACTTTGGTGGAAAGCTTCGCTTCTTTAGAAAATCAACTTGAAATGTTTTCTGCAATGATGTGTTTATTATAAATTTGATTGTAATACATTGGTGTGCTTTCAATAGAACAAGTACTACGTGCTTGCTCAACCGGACTCAGGTCAGCACGTGGTATAGTATGTGGTACAGTCGCGCGACGACGAGCTTTACGCCCGGCGCACGCTTCATATTACCGTGATCGAAGCGTCAGGCTAGACGTACAAACAGCTGGAGATTTACTGCCAGCATTTGGGATGCATAATGCAAGATCCGACCTGGGACTAAAGTGCATAAACGGTACTCAGTATGTACGGAATTCTGATGCGTGCATTGCCGACAGGCTCAATGCGTTGATCGTGGGAACTGGCTAGCAATCGTCATCTAACGTGCGGACCACCGAGTAGACTGAGCATGAGAAGCATGAGCTACGGCAAGGCCTTACAACGGTGGGACGCGCGCGCACCTCTGGAATTTCACGGCTGTTAGCTAGAGTGCCACAGATCGGAAGGCCTGTAATTTAAGGCAGGTTTCATCTTTAAAACACATGGAATCACTCGTCGACTTGCGAGCGCGCCCGGTCCACCAGGACTTATCGGGTCCTCCTGGTCGCCTGACGGTAGGGACCTTTGTCCGCGCAGTAAACTGGCGGGCCTTCGGCCCCCCCGGCGGGGCGGCCTGCGGCCACCCCGACCCCCCCTTTTCGTTTTTTTCCGCGCCCCGACCTACTGAATTTTCCGGCGGAAGAGCCGGGAAGTAGGAAGACGGGATCCAAACTCCTGTCCTGTCTTCCTGTCTGCCTGCAGGGGTGCTAACCCAAAAACCTCTAACCGAGGCCACTTCGGGGGGCAGCTTGGCCAATTCGGGCAGGGGGCAGTTTTTGCGGTCGGGGGGACACGTGGCGCGCTGCGGTTGGCGGATTTTATGCCAACGATCAGTTGGTTAGTCGGAATGAAGGAACAGGGGAACCATAGGGATCGATCATTTGGGCACTGTACGACGACGCGGCGCGGGCCCGCCGTTCGACGTGCTTGGGTTGGCCCGTTTCGACGATAAAACGTACGGTATTGCCTGGAATTCTGGACAAATAACGGTGCGACATTTTTTGGACTGGGGCCCCGCGTGCGCAGTTGCACCTTACGAACAGGGTTTCCCATGGACTTTCGTCCCGGCCGGCCCCCTGCCGGCACCCCCTCGGTCGTACCGGCTGGCTGGCCGGCTGCGCCGGCCGGCCACCTTTGCCCATGATGCAAGCCTGGCGGCATCATGACGGCCGGAGGGTGACGGCCGGAGAGCTCCCGGGGGACCCCCCGCGCGCGCTGGGCCCTTTTAACCAGGTGGTTGGGTCTCCCCGGGGTTCAAGCCACCTTTCGACCACAAAGTTTAGGGGTTGCCTTGTCGTGCCTAGCTGTATCCTCACATTGCCGTACAAAGCTTCAGGTGTTCTCGATCCTTTTCGATGTTTTTAGAATCTTGACTCTTGGTCGAGCGGTTGAGACGATTGTAAAGCGACCAGTCTTGGACCCGGGGAGACTCACCGGACGGGGCAAGTCCAGAGTGGTCCGGGGCTGGCACCTACCTATTAGGCTCTGGCTGGCAGGGTCCTGGCAGAGCCGGCTGCAGGGCCGGCCCACAGCCGGCAGGGTGCCTTCGGCACCGGCCGGGTTGGCAAATCTACCGGCCAGGTCCGCCCCAGCGTGCCGGCTGTGGGAAACCCTGCTTACGAATCGAACACATTGGCTCGACCGGTGCATGTGCAAGTCGCGGAAGCGCGCTTCGTGCATGTCCGCGATGTTCGACGCCGAAGTTTCGCGCTTGCTCGGTTGGCTGGTTTCACGACCAAGACATCTACACCGTTGAAAGAGATATGGCCAGTCGATGCCAACTGCGATTCTCAACCGTTGATTACGTTGGAAATCAAGGAAGAGGCAAGCCCTTGCCGTCGCATCGACGGCCAACCATGTTCGAAATCTTGCTCCCGTGTGCAGCCATTGACCGTCGATAATACTCTCAAGGTGCGTCAAACTTGAAAGAGCCAAAATGCATGTAACCGTCGACTTTCTTCATCGAACGTGTCCGAGACTAGGAACGTGGAAGTTGCAGATGCAGGATGTAGAGGCAATGACCGAGGAGGCTGTTCACACCATGGGTTTCAGGGTCTGCCCGAGGGCCCATTTGCAAGCGCGAAATTGATGCGTTGCGAGTGTGAAAACCTGCAGCAGCACCGCGGTGAGCCGCTCCAGCTCAGACGGACACGCCACAGCTACAAATGCCAGAGGTGCAGGGGCGCAACATCTTCAAAACTTGTAGCACGTTTATTTTGAACGTGTAGGGCGCCTCCCAGAACGCTGTGTTCAGGGCAGACACGTTAAGGCCTTCTCTGGGATCCACCGCAGGCGCTCCAGATGGCTGCTGCACTGAGCAGAGCCGGGTGTGCAGCGCAGCCTTTGCTGGCGGCCAGATGCAGGAGTGAGACGCAGATAGGAGTGGATGCTATGTCCTTATCAGCTGCGCGTCCTTTCCCAAAGTGCGCCAGATCTAGCAGGCCTAGGCACTCGGCACTGAGCTCCAGCAAGGCGCAGTTTACTGCGGCGTGGGGCCTGCCAGCTCTGCCTCTGAGGAGAAATAACAGCAGCCGGGGGGTGGGCGCCAGGTGCGCGGTGTCGGCGGACCGGCCAGCATCCAAGCCTCGGTTTATTCAGCACAAGCAGGAGGCATTCTGGTTTTACCGATTCTTGTCTATAGTGTACGATCATGTCATCAACCCAGGCCATTGGACGGAGGACATGAGGGAGGACGCGCTGGAGGTTGCAGATCTGAATGATCCGAACCTGAAGGTGGTCGATGTGGGAGCGGGAACAGGTAAGGTGCTCCTAGGCACCACTTACTTGAAGTTCGTTCAACATGCATCTCTGGCGCCCGGCCATGCACTTCCATCATAGTGGTTTCCTCCTTTTGACGCATTGCAACAAGCGCGATCCTGCTTCTGCTTGTAACTTGCAGTCTGGCAACCCTTTGTAATGTGGTCTGAAGTCCAGGACTTGCCTTTCGCACCAGAGTTAGCCCATGGCCGTTTCAGCAAGCACAAGCAACTCAATCGTAAACTTGCTTCCAATGCCGACCCCCTCTTTTGATTGGGTGCCTTTGGGCTTCTGCTACTCAGGGAAACGTGCTTATTGTTACGTAAGCAGTGGGCCATGGTAAAGATGTGGTCTGCTGAACTGGTAGGTCGGATTGTCGAGAAAGGTGCACTGTCTGTCCGACAAAGTTGTCAAGATCCGCTTTTTTAGTCAGTCTAACAATCAAGGGGAGTTCGATCAGCTGGCGGCGCGTGCAAGCTGTCTTCTAGGCATGGCACAGAGCGAGCACAACAAGTTTTGTATTAAGCCAGTCAGCTGCATTGCTGCTGGTGCCATGTAGTCGCACTCCATCGCTTCTGATTGTTAGGGCACGGTGGCAAAATCTGATTATTGGCGGCATTGGATTGCATAAGAACATTTAAGTTCTTGTCTGGGGTGTGACAGAAGGTCACAATGAGGCAGTGCACGTGTGCATGCATAGATGCATTGACGGACTTATCAGAGAACATGCTCGTCCTGGCTAGGCGAGATTAGGGTTCACGTGGATCTTAGGGTTCTGGGTCGCTGTTGCCATGTTTCTTTGCTGTCGGCATCTGGGCGTCCTGCAGGTCATGATGTCTGCGCATTCTCAGTGTTTTAGCGCTCTAGAGAAGGTGTGGTTTTAAGAGGGAGGACTCCCTATCTGCCAGTGGTGGAAGGGCTTACTTTGTACTTGATGGCCTACATCTATGCAACTGAGACCTTTTGTTTGGAATTGTCTTGCTAAGCATCCTTTCTCAGAATGCAATGCGTACTGCTCAAACAGTTTGCTCCTGGTCGTGACATCTGTACGCGTATTTCGTGGCCGCCAGCTCTTATTGATTTGCTCCTTCAACATCCTTGTTTTGTGAAGATCTGGGCAGGTTCTACTGGCTGATATGTTGCCGACGAATCTTAGTGCTAACCCAGGCAGCCTAGTGCGAATCACAACATAAGTTCCTGCATTCACGACACCGAGTTTTCAAACCCTAAAAGACCTGACTTGTCTGCTCTTCTCGACTTTTTACCCCGATCAATGACGAAGCCGCCTCTTTCATAACCGCTCCATACAGGTGCAATCCTGCAGTTCAGTCCCTCAACCTCGCCAGCATTCTTTCTCTGCAGGCTTCTGCACGCAGGGTGTAGTAAGGACGATCCCTGGCAAGAATGTGACCATGATCGATCAATCCCCCCACCAGCTGGCCAAGGCACGGAAGAAGCCTGAGCTCCAGGACGTCACCATCTTGGAAGGGGACGCAGAGGACCTGCCTTTTGCCACCGACACCTTTGACCGCTACGTCTCTGCCGGAAGGTGAGCCGTCACACCACCCCCTTGAATGGAGCCAGTAAGGGGCAAGCGAGAGTGGTCTGAGGCAGATTTGTGAACCTATGGGTTAGCTTGTCTTGAGAACCTGAGCTTTTGGCCGGAATATCATAAAGGTGTCAGTACCGCCTGTTGCGGTTGGTCGCTAGGCTTGCTTTGGATGCATCATCTGCCGTCCTTTCTTTTTGTTCGACTATAATCACCGCTTCCAGATGGCGAGTGGGGCCAATTCAATCAGGGTCTGTTTTCGGTTCTTAAGGCTGATGGTTGGCGGTGCCTTTGGGCACACTCAGGAGGGACAGCGCAGCTCCCAGCATGTTCTCCTCACTGGTGTAATCATGGTAGTGCTGCATGATCTGCTTGACAGCCATGACCCTTTAAAGGCGATTGTCATCGGCCCGGCACTCTCAGCAAGTCATCTCAATACTCTTGTGCCAACTGTGTTCCCTTCTGGTTCCAACGAGGCTTCCTTTATTCTTGTGTTGGTCAATGATTTTGTGTTGTTCATTTGAATTCTACTCGTCTTCATCAAAGCACTCATCGATTTTGGTGACGAATTGAAGTGTTATCAACGATCACACCTGATAAAGAAGAATAATCGTCTGTGCCCTGCTTCCGTCTTCATCGCAATGTACCGCACTCTCGCTTCCAAGTTATCTTTTTCTTCTCTTTGTTATACTGACTCTTCCTCTCTTCCTGCAGCATTGAGTACTGGCCAGACCCGCAGCGTGGCATCGTCGAAGCATACCGCGTCATCAAGCCCGGCGCCAAGGCCTGCCTGATCGGGCCTGTCCATCCGACCCACCCCATCTCCCGCTTCTTCGCCGATCAGTGGATGCTCTTCCCCACTGAGGCTGAGTACATGGAGTGGTTCACAAAGGCCGGTTTTGAGGACGTGCAGATCAAGCGGATTGGGCCCAGCTGGTACCGGGGGGTGCGGCGGCACGGGCTGATCATGGGTTGCTCGGTGACGGGGGTGAAGTCGAACCCTGGGGAGTCGCCGCTGAACCTCGGGCCCAAGGCAGAGGATGTGGCAGGGCCCTTTAACCCGTTCAGCTTTTTGTCGCGGCTCATTTTGGGATCTCTTGCGGGGGCCTACTATGTCATCATCCCCATCTACATGTGGTTGAAAAACCTGATCTTCCCCAAGAGTTGGGCGATATAGGGGGGTAGAAGTAGGTAGGTCTAGATAGCACTGAGGTTAAGCAACGTGTCTGCCGGGGGGCTGGCAATCTTATGAGCCAGGTCCTAGTGCGTGCTGCAGTTTTGCAAGAGGAACATGCTGCTGATACAATGAGTTACTTTGACAAGGACTCTGGCTGTGCGTCTGTTCGTATTGGTCGTAAAACATGTTGAAAAGGTTTGACAACTAGGGACTCGACGGAACGAGCAGTTGAAGGAAGCTTTAGGTTGAGCTGCTTGTGCAGCTTGCAATCAGGTGATTGCATTCCAAAGATGATCACGTTTTGCAAGCACTATTGCAATGTTCCTATGACCTGGTCCTTTTGCCGCGTCAAGCTTACTGCCAAGTTCGTCTCTATGACTTGAGTATGCAAAGGTACTGATAGGCATGAATATATCATGCGTCCTAGTTGAGCAACAGGGCAACAGGGAATTCACAAATTCGCTTACATGTGCTACAAGGGTCCTACACAGACCCGTACATGCGCATATCATGTGCAATTGTACAACCTTACCCGAAGCGAAAGCAAAGTGTTCGCATGTAAAGTCAACGGTTTTCTTAGAGGCGTCTGCAATCTGAAATTTTTATCATTGATAAAGTTCGTGCTTCTGAACTGTCCGTGGTACTGTGATTAACCTTTGTTGTCGACCATGACTGCACCTATGAGTACATGGAAATGTGGATCGCGACATAATCAGAAAGCACTGAGTGCATGCCGTTATCAATTTTGCCATGCAGTTACATGCATTGCATATTGTGCACCCCACTCGAGCACACTGGAGAGCAGGCTCACGTCTCTCGTATCAAGGAGGTGAAGTGTGACGACTGCTTTGCCACGTTTGGTATCCATTCATTCCATAGTGATTCAAGAAGCGCGTGTTGGCCGCAAGATGATACATCAAAAGCCGCAGCCACAAACAAGCCAATGACAAAGAGAAGATGCTTGTCTTTGACATCTTCTAAGCTGAAGCACGAGTTGATTGCCAGCCTTTCGATTTCCCGGCTTGAGATGTCATCTCTGCGTATTGACTCTTCTGATCAGAAATCCTGGAAGACAGTCTGGTCCCGAATGGTGAGCGGGAACGGGTGGTTCAGCGGGCCCAGGTGGCTGTAGTCATCGAAGTTACTAGTGTCATCGTGCCCCTGCAAAAGGAAGCGGACGGTTACTTTTGTGTCCAAAGCAGACGGAAGGCAGAAACTTATAAGATCTGCTTTCCAAGAAGATGCCGACAGCTTAAAAGTTAGAGTAGAGTAGATTCTCCCTGACTTTGTCAGGACCTTTCCGGACAGGAGTTTATCTTGCAGTCGTGTCGTGCCGTGTGCAGCACAATCGAAGTCTGGGGAAGAGAATGATTGAAAGATTGGTGGCGGTTTGCGCGGCGGCTACCTTGATCTCTGGCCTGATAGGACAGAGCACCTCGCGTCTCTCGACGGCCCTCCAATCCAGGTCGCTGAACCAAGGATGCCGCTTCAAGTTCTTGATGCCGTGTATCCCACATCCAAGGCTGAAAGGAAATAGAACGACCAGTTGTCAGTTCTGATTAACAGACTTCACGACTTATGGTGGAAGAAATATTTGTTGCGCCAGACGACAAAGCCGTCTGGTGTCCTTCAGAGCTTGCCGTACTGAAACTTCTCAACACCGATGCCGAAACTCACCGCTTCCGACGGTCTGGTTCGAGAAGCGCCCGGATGAACTCGCTGGACCTGGACAGAAAGAAGAAACGACCATCTTATCTAACGCAAGGTTAGTAAACCGGTGAGTTGCCACATTTGAGAAGTAAGCAAAACCTTTCCGTCACCAAATTCCCGTCCGAATTAAGATCCACTCGCAGCAGCGGAATTGGCACAATGATCAAGTAGCGGACGCGCTGATTGTGAGCTGTCTTGACAAGCAAGTCCTCGCAGTCAACAGCGACCGAACCGTTGAGTATTGCAACAATGTGAAGGCTTATAGAACTACAAGTGGAACTAGTGAGCAGCAGACTCACTCGGGAGAGAAGTCGCACGGGAACCTGAAGCTGCTCGTCACGATCTTCTGATAAAGCCCGAGAATATCTGCGTTGCGGAAAGAAAGCTGAAAGGTTGATCTTGAAAGTTTTGAATGTCTTGCAGAGATGAGAAGGACAAAAGTGCAATCTGCTGAAAGAAGTGCTTCTCCTTTGCTGCAAAGAAGTGCATTGCAACGATCAGGCTTCTACCTTTGTCGTAGAAAGGGGAGTAACCCGCGAGCATTTCAAAGCAGAGGACTCCGAGGGCCCACCTGCAAAGAGAAACGGTGAAAGCTTTCTGATATGCTTGTGGACTATCTCAATATCGATACTATGACCGCATGATATGTCAGCGACATTGATAGGAGTAATACACCAATCCGAACTAGATGAAGGCAGCCACCATTTTGGAAATAAAGGCAGACACTGTCCAACCAAAAGCGGGGGTGTCCTGCGGGTCTTGTACCCAGCTCACCAGTCAACCTCTGTTCCGTGTCCGGCTTGCAGTATGATCTCGGGTGCCAGGTATTCCGGGGTGCCTGCGAGACGGATTCCGATTACAACTCGTCAGGAGCCGGAGAAAGTTGCAGGAAGTATGGACCGACTAAGCAGGCCATTTCATTTTGTGACGACTACTTCCTTGGCTGGAGGCTAACGTTCGAATGTGTCACATCGCAGATCATGCTTACCACAGAGTGTGCTCGCGCTCCGTCCATTGAGTTCTTTGGCAAAGCCGAAGTCGGTCAGCTTGATGTGTCCGCCACCGTCGAGCAGCAGGTTCTCTGGCTGCAGGAAACGAAAGAGAACTTTTGATCACATGGAGCTAACGAAAGAGCCGAGTATTCAACTTTAGTCGAAACGCAGATGGATATGCTTAATCACCTGGCGCCCGCAATTTTAGATAAAATCCAGATGTTGGTTCCTGTGAAGCACGACTAATGCTTACTCGTGATTCATTCATGGACTCCCGACTGAAATATTTACGCTCCGCACATGAGATAAGGTTCCAGGCAAGATTCAGTGGATTGAGCCAGCCTACCTTCAGATCCCTGTATACCACACCCCGTGCATGGAGGTACTCGAATACGAGCGTTAGCTCCGCGACGTAGAACTTGCAGGTCTCTTCGGAGAACTTTCCGCAGGTCCGCAGGTGAGTGAAGATCTCTCCACCAGGGACGTACTCCATTATGAAAGACAGAGAGCTGTTGTCCTGGCAGATCCCGAGCAGTCTTGCGATATTCGGATGATGCGAGACTGCACGAACAAGGAGAAAGAGCCAATCAAACGTCACCAGCCGTTGCTTTGGTGACGGCAACACCAAATAAGTGTTGCACGGAAACAAGTCGATTCCCTCCCTCAGAAAGGCTTGGTGGAAGCTCAAAACAGTATAGCTATTAGCTGTCGGACGGCTCAAAGAGCTGAAAAAGACTTTGGTTCGGATTGATCAAATCAATAGCCGCCCTTTGAGGAGCAATTTCCAGACCAGAACGGATATGGAAAAAGCTCCGCAATGTTAACAAACAATAAGGAACGTCTTTGAGACCTGTTAGAACTTCAAAAGTCATGGATCTCACAAGCTTTTGCAGAACGTCGGTGCGAAGAAAACATCAGCAGCGAGACTAGCATCAACGTTGAAGGTAAGGGCTTACACTTCTTCATCACTTGCATTTCACATTTGACGTGGTGCGTTTGGTTTGTCTTGATGATTCCCGCCTGCAAAACGACAAAGTGGTCCACGTCGTTAAATCTGACAGCAGGATTGGCAGCAGACTGAGGAAGCAAGCAGCTGCACAAGGTAGGTTCTTCGATTGGATATCGAATTAGTCTAAGCTGGCTTAGTTATTGCTCCCTTTCAAGTCTTTCAAACCTCTGGTCTATCCTGTGAAGTTGTGTACACGCTCACCGCAGTCACAGGGACAGAGACGCTCACTTTGCTCATGGTCTTGATGGCGCATACTCTACCCGAGCGGCAATGACGTGCGATATAGACCCTCCCGTATGAACCAGTTCCGATGACAGGTCCTACATCTGCAATGTGAGCCAGCAAAGGCAGTCTCCTTTCCACCCAATCAACATGGAAGAGTACCTTCACTCTGAGTGTGGAGGCAATCATGCACAGAAGGCTTTGGGGTTTATCTGAAGATGGGTTTGCAAGGGGAGTGCCAAGAAGCCGATATCTCCTCTCAGATAGGCTTCCGAAGATTGTATAGAGGCCGAGCACTTACCAAAGTCTTTGTCCAAGTTGCAGTTCTTAAAACACACCTGCGAATACATTGAAGCCACGTGGTTCAGAACTTTCTGATCTCGTACGAGTCCAAGCACCTGATCAATGGCTGGTTAAGGACCTGATCATTCACTCCCTGCTTGATCGGTAAGACATGTCTTTACGAACGAACTTTCTGAGCATTCTCAGCCTCTCTCAGCAAATAAAACCTCTCTATTTTGGCGCTGCCGACACCTAAGGTCTGACTCACCTCCTCATTTTGGGCCTCTGTTGCAGCAGCGGGTCGTTGCTTGATTGCCCTTGTTCTGCTGCCACCTCGGATGCCGAAGAGATGTTTGAAGATCGACTGCTTCAAATTGGATCTTTGCCGAGAAGGATCCTGGGCTGGATGATGAGAGCGGCCATCAGATTTCACATTCTGAGAAGTCCCCATCGTAAGATGTTTGAAAGCACGAACTGCTCAATTTCGCGGTTTTAGGACGCCTCCAGACTGACAGATAAAAAGCCTGAAAAGCTGCTTTTGAGCTTGACATCTAAACTTCGGTCCTTGAAGACGGAAACCTTCCCTTTCTAATTAAGGCCTTGTTTTTCGTTGTAAAAGATGCTGAAGCTGTTCAAGCCGCTCTGATTCATCCTTTGAAGCGAGTAGCCGTGCTCCAAGAAGCACGGTTTGAAGACCCTGGGCTGACTGTATGCGCAAAGCTTGCTAAAAAGAAGCACGGTCTGACGACCCTGGGCTGACTATATGCGCAAAGCTTGCTAAGCGTGGAAGCATGCTAATGCGACCATTTGTTAACTTAAGCGAGCTTTTCGTCCTGGCGGAAGCTCTGTCAAAGCTTCAGAGCTGATCGCTTAACAGCCAAGATAAAGGACCGCCTTCGCAGTCGCAACCAGCTGGTCTTTTCTGAAAGATACATGAGCTCATCACTGAAGCATCTCCAGAGCAGCTTCAAGGTAGTTCCTGCCCTCTCGTCTTACATTCCCCCCCGCGGAGATCGTTGATCTCGGAGGGCGCTTGGGAGCTCAGAGCTTTGGTGGGGTCTCGAAAGGAGGCAACTTTAGTTCTCTGAAAATAACGTACGCGCTGCCTTTTCAAAGCTTCTAGCGATGATCCTTCGACCGATGCCAAGGCTACCTTTCACTCAGCTTCTCCACAAAACCCCCGTTTCATTCCCCGGACAGGGAAGTGGAGCGTCTTAGATGAAGGATCTGTCTGAGCTGCGCGTCATACATGGGGGGAAAAACGAGGGGACGAGGTTATGCCTTCATGCTGGCTTGTCTGATCGACTGGCCTAGGACACATTAATTGGGGAGGATGCCCATCGGAAGAGGTCATGCAAAGTCTGTGCGAAGTCCTCCAGGGCTACTGCAAGAGTAGTGAACTTACAATAGGCTTGAAGGTTTCAGAAGATGACTTTTGACCTTGCTGCTGAGAAAGCCAAGTGTATGCTTTCTTTGGCGTATATGACCACGTCAGCGTGTTCGCTCGAAGCGAGGCGGCATGATACACGAATCATATTTTATGATCAATACGACAAGCGAGAGTTCCGAGAATTCCGGAGATGCTGAGTCGTCGTCGGTTACTCTTCCGTATCTGGGGGCTAGGGGGCTTGTCACTCGAAATGCTTCAGGTTGGGGTGCGTGGTTGCCGCTGATCAGCGATCTGCATTAGGATTATTTTAACGTCGGCAGAATGAGTCTCGTCCGATTACTCGTCGACTAGCACGTCGATTGGGAGCTGTGGCTTCCTGCAGTTCCATCGAAGCGGTCGAACATGATGCAGCAGGCTAAATATTAACATTCACAGGTGACACAAGCCCTCATAAAGGGAACGGCAGCAGTCCTCGATTTAGAAGACACGCACTCGGGTGAGACCGCACAGAGTCTTTGAAATTGCATACGACGCGTCAGCTAAGCTTCATAGCTAAACACTGAGGCATGGAGCAGGCAGCCGCGGCCGCCCGCACCTGCCGTATCTGACACCTCTTCGTATGCTGCCCTTTGACATTTCAGCCCGAGTCTCTTGCAGTACAATTCTCTTCTTTCGATGCTTTTTAGATCTAGCGAGGACGCGTACTTCGTACGCGGCCTTTAAGTTGCGAAGTGATATTGCCATGAACCTTGTCAAAGTTGCTAGTCAAAGAGCCAGCTCGGAGTAAGCTCATGCTCTCGAGTCGAAACGGAGCTTTCTAATGCCGAAATTGCTCAAATATTATGCGCAGCTTGGAGTATGTGCAGTACTGCACTGCCAAAGGTTTCACGCACGCGGAATGGCCACATGCAGCAAAACAGTCAGTCGATTGGTATTTTGATATGGGGCTCCGGCTGTGAGGATAATTGGATCGATGAGCGATGTGAAAGTCCTCGACAACATACAGAACACTCAGATTAGGACAGAAGATAAGTAGCACAACTGGGCTGGTAATTAGTGCGCTTGCATACAACAAGTTTAAAGTTTTAGGGCCAGCGCTATGCTATTTTCGAAAAATGGACATGCCTGCCATCCAATTGCGATTGAGTTGGCCGTACTGTTTGGACGCGCCTCTTAAATGCGTCAACCAGCAGATTGCGTCTTGCTCTTCTTCATCCACTTAATCCCTGCATCAACTTCCAGCTTTCGAGAAGAACACAAAACAATTCAATCATGTACCTAATGCATGATTCAGAGAGGCATTTTGAGGATCGTTTCGACACTTCTTAGGTTGCGTCTGAAAGCGCCGTCCTAAGATACAACGCCGACTTTTCGAAAGATTCTATTCTCCGTGTTTTTCCATCCGACCTTGTCATGTCTGCAACTCGCAACGGCCGGGCAAGAAACACACTTATAGGAGCACTTCAAAAGTGTCAACATCTATCTATAACTTAACTCCTTTTCTAATTAAGCACGTGTCCAGCATGTACCTCTTCTCTGGATTACATCAAGAGACGCCCATGTGTGCCCCGACATTTTATAATGACTCCGAAATCTTCGTTAGGTACTTCATCTATTAGTGTACAGGTTTCCTACGTTGCGAGCGACAGCAACAGCGCCGTCCCCCTTTTGATCCAATGATCCGCGTCTACTGTCCCGGCCCGCAGATCCACGCTGATCATATAACTCGGACGCTCGCGCGTGCCCGTCCGCAGCGGGTACATGTACAGCGGGCACGCGTACACTCCCTTGGCCGTCTTGCGCTTATTCTCCACCGGCTTGAAGTGCATGATCGGCATGGGTACGATCAGCTCCATAGGCTCCGGTTCACACAGGCAGTTGCTGTCGTAGTCCCACCCCGCGCCTTCCAGGTACATGCCCTTGATGTAAACGCCCTCCTTGGGCGGCTCGGTGATCTCCTTCTCGTGCCGCGCGACGACCGAGAACTCCCACCCCAGCGTGTCGATCGGGATCGCGTTGCGCCGCGCGGTGGTCTGCAGAACCGCGGTTAGGAACCCGGTCGGGTACGTAAAGCCGGACAGCCAGTAGACGTTGGGGTACGTGCCCTCAGCCCACGCGCGCAGCGTGCCGACGCGCGCGACCAGGTCGCGCGTCCAGGGGCCGAGGGGCTTAAGCGAGGGATAGCACTTGAGCCACGCAGGCGGCACCTTCGCGTCGAAGAGCGCTGCGAAAATGTCGTCCAAATCGGAGGACATGACGACCAGACCCTTGATCCCCTTTTGCAGGTTGGCGCAGCTCGCGCGCACGTTACGTAGAAGGGCGTTGTAACGCTCGATCTCTTGGAAGAGAACCACGTGGAGGGCGGAGGGGTCGTCCTTCTTGAACTTCTGGACGTCTTCCAGGTTCATGGGCTCCGGGACCTGCACGCGCAGAGGAAAGGCGGTTATGGGCATTTCCTGAGGTGTAGAAAGGATAAAAGGATCGAAGAAACTATGATTCGTGCCTGCTCTTCAACATATTCTGCGTTTGCCAGCTAGAAGAGGCAGTTTATTTGCAGGGGCAAGCTGGTGGACTCAGCTACGAGCATTCTTCGCACCGATACGACCGCCCCAGCCTGTCGCCCCAATCATCTGCAGCTCTTCCACTGTCCCTCAACCTAGCGTTTAAACAAGAATCTCAATCCGTTCGTTTTGCCGTCAGCTCAAAAGCATCACTTGAGTCTTCCTGAAGGCCCGGCAACCTTTATGAAGAATTGAAAACGGACCTGTGACAGCAGATCTGTTGCAATGGCCATGACAATGTCCTCCCGCCTGAGACCGCCCGCGGCGCTGCTCGCGCGCGGCTGCAGGCTGACGATGCTCTCCAGGACGACGCGCGAGTCGTTGATCTGGAAGCTGATGTCCGCGTTCGGGTGCTGTCCGAACGCTTCCGGACGGTCGACCACGGGTAGCGTCTGCAGGTACTCCTTGTGCGTCTGCGGAGAAGAGCGTCGAACGTGGTTGAGGGTCAGGCAACCGGGGTATGATCTCAGAATAAGACCTTGAAAAGCGTTCAGAGTGCGTCTTCTTGTTTCCAAAGGAGCATATTATCCCGGGGGCTGACACAGAAATCATGACCAGGCGTTGGCAGATGCTCGCAATGTCTATTCAGGATGTGAACTCACTGGCTTTGCAGAAGCCAGCCATCTTTCACTCGTTCCGTTCCGAATCTAAGCAGTCAGAGTTGCTAGATGCTCCAAGAAGCATATGAATAAAGAGTCTTCGTCCCGGATTTTTCGCCCACTTTACTAACCCTCCCGTCGCGGATTCCCGTTAACCAGGCCCCTTACCTGCATGGTTCCATTATCCGGGATGTAGTAGTTGGGCAGCGAGGACAGCGGGTACGCGGGCGTGGACAGCGCCTCGGGGCAGTAGAACTGGTCCAGGTAGCTCGCGAGCACGCGCCGGTCTAGTTCGTCGGTGACGCGGCCGCCGTAGTTGGCCTCCGCGATGAGGTACTTGAGCGCGTCGAACGGCGTCTCGTCGTACTCGTCCAGGTACGTCTTGAGCAGGTCGTCCGACACCTGGTTAGAAGAAGAATGAATTTGCTTTCAAGCCAGCAGTCATTTAGGAGAGCTTCGGAATGAGTCAATCGAATCTTCTGTGATTCCTGAGGAGCCCAGCGGCTGTGAAATGGGTCTTTCTTGTCGCGTGGGCGAGCTTCCATGGAGTGAGTCATCATCCCGCTTGTTGATAAGATTCCAATCCAGAGCCCGAACACCAGGGCTTACACGCTGATTAGAATGAAATCAGCTCGGCTGGCCGTAGCTCAATGCAAAAGGCCACAGGTACGAAAACATTACTTTCTCATAGCCCCGGCTTTGGCAGCCTTGGTGCCCAATCCGACCCACACCCTCAAACCCCCAGAAACTTCCCGAAACTCCCAACTCCTCCATCTTTAACCCACGACAGACACCCCTGAAATCAAAACGCGCGCGCACCTGGAAGTCGGTGTCGTTGAAATCGTACGGGATGTTGAGCCCCAGGTTGCCGAACTTTTTGCGCTCCAGCAGCACGGAGTGGAAGTAGGTGAGCGCGAAGAAGAGCTTCTGGTACTTGGCCTGCGCGCGGCACGCCGCCCAGCTCTCCTCGCTCGTGCTCGCGTACAGCCGCAGCAGGTTCGCGCGCAGGCCCTTGGGCGGCTCCGTCGTCATCTTGAGGCCGCGCTGCGAGGGCGGAAGCGGAGGGTCAGCGGAATGGATCAATTTGAAAGGTGAGAAAAGCAGACTAGAGTCCAGGAGGATCTGTCGAAGTGTCTCCCTTCGTATGTGGGCTCCGCTGGAAAAGATTGCGGTGGCGTTTTCCCCCCATCCCATTTCGGCCAACCATTTTGCGAAAAGGAGATGCAGCATTTCAGGTCCATTGCCCCAGCTTTCCAAATCAAAGACTAAAGGACAGTGTTGACAACTTCCTTTTTTGGCTTACACTACGAGACGAGTATGGTCTAGAGCGGCATCACGCAGAGAGACGAACCAAAATATGTTGGAGACAGCAATAATATCGGAGGCAAGGACGGACTCCGCTCCTTATGATCACCTGAGTATTCAGGATAGGAAGCAGAGTTCGGGGGAAACATCCAAACGGAGTATCTTCTGATATCCACTAATTCCGACCGAAAAATCCTTTACCTGGAGGATTGAGATGGGGAACTTGGGATTGGGCGAGCTGGACAACCAGAGCCGGAACGACTCGTGCGGCTTTTGCGCCTCCAGCCCCTCGATGATTTTGTCCAGAGTCGGAAGCCAACTGGTCATCAAGTGGCAATTTGCCAAGAAGACCCAGGTGCCTTCTTTCACGGCTTCTTGGATCAGTTTCGTCGCGATCGGGGCCTGGCCTTGACCCAGCGCAACCGCGTGGAACCTGGAGGGAGATAAAAGGCCCTCTTTAGACAGAGGACGAGAAGATCTGCGGAGATTGGAACGATACTGAGTGCCATATTGCTTTCCAGTGCTGAACAAGGCTTTCGAACTGACGTCAAAAAACGGTCAGGTCAGGAAAGCGTGTTCCAAACTGCAGCCCAGGAACTCTGAACGGAAGTACAAACGGTATGATTGTACACTTTCCGTGCATTCGATGAGAGTAAGAATCCGCTGATTATAGAAAATCTATTTGACTACGGCAATCATGCAACAGAAACCACAGTGTCACGACATACAGCAGAAACTGGTCGCTCGACTTACTTTTCCGCCATGCCCTTGTTGGCCGCCAGCTGGCGCAAGTTCGCTGTGGGATCCACCCCCGCGCTGAGCACGAAGATGAGTGGCGTGGTTGGCAGCGAGTCGTTGTACGTTTCGCCCAGGTCTAGAACCGGCGGCTCCACGAACTTGCGGCCCAGGTTGTGCGCAACGTAAGTCGCGGCCGCGAAGATGACGCGGTCGGGCCGCAGGCAGCGCACGAAGATCTGGGGGATGAAAGAGACATTATTTCAAACGGTGGTCACGACCATCTTTTTGTAAGTGCTTCCAAGGTCGCTTGCATGTTCGAAGAGGGGTCCGCAAACGATCGAGAGGAGGGAACTCAAAATTGGCGACGATAAATGAAATAACGAAGATGAATGTGCAAGCCGGCAGAGGTTGAAGCAAAGCGGCTTTTGTTTAATTATGCGGTTTAGTACGCCCGCAGAGACCCGACATGGTCGGTTTTTTGACATCCCGAATGTACCAAGAGGTAATCGAGAAGCTATAGACAAATATGAAGCTGCCAACCACGGCCCGACAGGTGCAAGGAAGCAGATGAAGGAGCTCACGAATTGAATACTGAGGACAACTGGGCACTCACCATGCGCTGCAGCTCGTTGCACTTGGATTCCCACTCGCCAGGCAGCTCGGCAGTCTCGGGCTCCCTGGAAGGAATATGACGACGCGTTTGATACCTCAGCTTTCCAGTGGACAGGGAGATAATGAAAGCTGCTCCAATAGAGGTCGCGCTTCTGCTTCAGCTCAATCCGCAAGCACTTGAAGGGATGTCGCAACAGCCACACTTCAGGTTGACAAAGTGTCCTGCACTTTTGGTCGACCACTTAGCCCGAGTACTTGAACGGCGTTCCTGCTGGCTGCGACGATGCTGAACAGACAAGCCAAGCACGTTGCCCCGAATGAAACCAAAGCGTTTGCAAAATGCCACTATCATGTCTGAGAGCCACAAGCTCAAGTTCTCACCCTTGGCGGTACCACGCCTCCCAGTCGCTCGTATCTTTGTCGAAGCTCGAGACCACCCCCTTGAAGTGGGGCAGCTTCTCCAGCTCGTTGATGTGGTCCCAGCCCTGCTCGCTGATCCACGCGCGCGCGGGATTCTTGGGCTGCGCGCTCCGGTCGAGCACGGTGCCCCCGCGCAGGAAGAACTGCCACTCCTCCGTGTTGATCTGCGCGGCGGTCTGCAGGATGCGCGCGCAGATCTGGAGCGAGAGGAGCAGCTTGTGCCGCTCGAACAGCCCGCGCGCGGTGTACTTGTACACCTGGGAAGGGGCGGAAGAGATGTACGTCAGCAAAGTGAACGTGACGACACCAGAATCCAAATATCGTCTGCAGCAATGCAGCAGGGCACTGGCATGAGCATCCCTCAGGGCAGTTTATGTAGATTTGGTCTCTCAAGAGGAAAGGAGCGCGAAAGGCGCTTGGGACAAGGATTCTTGCGCTCGGCTGCTGTTCAATGGCCTGAGCAAGTTACTTAAACATTTTTCATACGGAGAAGGAACCAACCCTCTCGATCGTAACGTTTGTACTGCCAAACACAGCAAGCAAAATCGTCAAGAATCTGTCTATTTCAGCATGAAGTAGCGCCAACTGTGCAATCACAAGCGCACAACAAAGAGCAGTAGAAAAGCAAATCTGCCGGAGCCCCTTACCGCGTACGTATGGAAGTCGTTCAGGTTCTTGATCCGCGTCTGCAGCTGGTCAGATTTGGGGCTCTTCGCAATGGAGATGTGGAACAGGTCCGTGTAGGCGTCCAGACTGAACTGGTACATGGGGTCGATGGTCGCCAACTCGTTCAGCACGAAGTAGAGCGCGCTCGCGCGCACCGCGCACGGCTTGTACGCCGCGGCCGCGGTCTCGATCTTTTTGGCGGTCTCCTCGGCGACCTTTAGAGACTCGTTCACCTGCGGCCCGGGCATAAAGATTTGAAGATGGTCGCCTTTTTGCGGTACAGCAGCTTTCGATGGTGAACTCACTGGCGCACAATGGACCTGTGACCTCAGCCAGACCTACGCCGCCAGTCGGTGAGCTTACTGAACGCCGCATCATTGGCAATAAATCGACTTGCAACAAACACGCCTGTAGAATTGCCCTGAAAGGTACGCAAATGAAGGCGCCTAAACACTCCGGAGTGACTCTGATTCTGTCAGCTTGTGGGCTCCCGTTATGTTGCTTCTGTCGGGCCCAATAAATTGGGGACCGAGACTTAGAAAGAACACGACAAAATGGAATCTGCGAAATCAGAAAACAGACAGAGTAGTTTGCGCACCTCCTCCCAGGTGGTTTTGGACTGGTCCAGCGTGTTGATGAGCTCCAGGTTGTCCAGCAGGCTGCCCGTCGCAGACGAGAGCAGCCGCAGAATGTCGTCCTCCAGCTTCGCCTGGGTGCGCTTCCCGGTCGCAACCTGCGGAACCGCGCCCGGTTAGACAGGGTTTGGATGTTAACCGAGACGGTAGCTCAGATGATCAACCGACGCAATACCCTCCAGCTTCAGTGCCACTTTGAGAAAGCGTTGCTCCCTTGGAAGGGACTGGAGATGGTTAGAGAGGAAGCAATGCTGTTTGTTTCTGGTCGGCGGCGAATGTAAAAAATGCTATAGCGTGTTGCTTTGTAGAGGGAGTGCTCGATTTTTCCTTACGGAAACCAGTTTGCTCATGACTTCAGTCAGCTAAGCATGCTCCGTAAAGTAGTCACGGCAATCTGGACCATTAGTGCTTCGCGAATCAACCAGGTCAACAAAAACAGGGTTAAGAAGCGAGGTCAGCGGCAAACCCCACCTTGACCACGAGCTCGTTCTTCTGCTTGTCCAGGTCGGGCCGCTCCTTCTGCACCACGGTGTTGAGCAGCTGCGCCTCCAAACCCTGCTCCTTAACCGCGAAGTTAACGATGGTCGCCTTGGTGGAGACCTCCGGGGTGTAGTGCGGGTTAGCGAGCTTGGTGGTTATGTACAACCGGAAGTCGGGGTTGTAGTCGATCTCTTTATCGCCCAGCTTGATTAGCACCTGGCGGAAGAGGAGAGTAACGGCATTGAGCAGAGATTGGGTATGGGCGTCGCCTGGCAAGGTCTTCCAAAGTTTCCTCCGCATTTGGTGGGCTTTCGATCACATTCGACACGAGTGGGGAGCTCGTTTATACTTTGTATGCCAAGGACGAAGCTCGCCTTTTGACTGTATCTGAAATTCCAGAATCCACACCGACTTACGTCGAACCCAACACCCAGTCAGAAATTTTGCTCGCGTCTGTCAAGCTCATCATTCACTCGCTCTAAAATTCAAAGGCTTGGCGCTCGTCGGCTTCGCTCCCCTTGGAATTCGGCCATCGTTCCGCTCAAGATATAAAAAGCATAGCGCAACAAGGTATTGTCAACGCACCTGGTTGCCCTTTTTGATGAACGACTTTGCGAGGATGGGCTCCAGCGAGGGGTCGATCTCCTCGAGCACGTCCTGCAGCAGGACGGGGTTGCCGAACTGGATGGCGTTCTCCATGGTGCGCATCAGGTCCGACATCTGCAGGTCCACCACCTTCAGCCCACGGCCCGCCTCCATGCTCTTCACCCACTTGTTGGCTTGCCCCTGCGGAAGAGAAGGGTTTGATTTGATTCGGTTTCAGGGGAATGTACGACGGTAAGCCTCCTCCTCACTTGGCTTGGCTTGGCTTGGCTTGGCTTGGCCCTGCGGAAAAGAGGGGTTTGGATTCTCAGCAGAGTCCAAACCTTTAACATTTTGATACAATAAAGGTCTGATCGGCCAAAAAATTCTCCGTGCTCTTCGATCCACTTGTTGGCTGGGCTCCTGGAACAGAGGGGTTGGCTGATATTTGTTCTCCCTATTGGAGCAAAAAGCGAACCTTTCGATCGTTCTTCTTCTTGCATTGGAGGCTTCTTGGACTCTTTCCCAAAGCCAAGTGCCTCTTAAGTCGTCAAGAGAATGATACCTGCATTTTTCAATACATCGGATTCCCAACCTGCTCCCTGAGAGCTTGATCGAAGAAGCGAAAGCTGCAGCTTTTCAAGTCAGAATGAGCACTTTTACCCGGCAAATATTGATAGAAAAATTCTGCCCACCTGGGGGTCGATCATGAGCGGCCAGCGGCGGCCGCGCGTGACCATGACGCCGTTCTCGGTGGAGAACTGGTCGGCGGGCAGGCCCTGGATGTTCCAGTCGCGCACGTCGCTCGGGTTCGCCAAAAATAGCGCGAAGTCGAAGTCCGCGGACGACGGGATGCTCAGCTTGCGGACCTAACAGAGCGTACGAAACGGACACGTTGAGTTGCTCGGGTTTTGCGTGGGTTCGCGCAATCGGAGAGAAGCTTTGAGGATTGGAAAAGTTCGGAGAAAACCATCGTGTCGCAGAGCCTGGCGTGAATGTGGATCGCTTACTCGCCAACGACTTGGACTCGCTAAATCAAGTAACACTTTGTCAGACCCCGGAATCCTGAAAGTCGATACCGCAAGATGCTCGGACACCGCGTGCGAAGCTTTTTCCGTACAAGCACCTGGTCGATCTCGCCAGCTCCTTCGGAGACAAAACTTGGCCCCACATCACTTCAAACCCTCTCCTTCAAATCAAATTGCTCTCAGAAGACGTTAATCCGAAGTTCACCATATCCCACCTGGTCCAGCCACGTCCGCTTCAACCAGCTCTCTCGCTATGAACTCAATATACCGAAAGCAAACATAAATCGCTCCTGGGCATTGCTCGAAAACTCTTACCCCTAAAGTCTGGACCCAAGAAACCCTTAAAAAACCAAACCCTAAAATCCCGACAGCCCACCTGGTCCAGCCACGTCCGCTTGACCAGCTCCTCCCGGTACTCGCTCGGGAACGGCCCGGCGTAGCTCAGGAACGCGGCCGCGACGAGGCAATCCCCGGGCAGTCTCCCGATCTGCTGCTCCAGGTTTCCGATGCTGGCTTCCCACCGGGACTTTTCCCCGGCCAGTCCTAAGACCAGCTTTTCCGCGCGTTGTAATTTGCCTTCTAAGTCTTCGGCCTCGCGCTGCAGCGCCTCTCTGCTGGCGGTGCTCGTGTCGTACTTGTCCTTGAGCGCCGCGACTTTGGCGAGGACCTGTGGAGGTAAAAGAGGGATTGCGGGACGGCTCATGGTTTTTTCCAGGGGCTCAGGATAACGTACATTCATTTTTGATTTGTCTTGGACATAGGTGGACCTTAGCCTCGCAGGAATTGTCAAATAGCTCCGAGCTCAAGTGACATGTCTTCTGGTTATGAGATGAAGTACCCAAGAGCATTCCTACTCTGTTATACGAGTCTCCAAAAATTGGATCGAATACAGACAAGTACTCACTATTCACATTGGACGACAGCAAAGGTACAAAGTAGAGCCCATCCTCCGTACTCTCAACTATACGACCAGCTATAAGTGCCGAACTCTTCAACATCAGCGTTTATTCTTGAAGCAACGCCACTCAACACCCGCTCGCAAAACCCTAACCCCCAAAACCCCGGCTCACCGCTGCAAGCTGGTCGCGCGCGGCCTGCAGCGCGGCCTGCTTCTTGGCGAGCGTCGCCTGCGCGGCCTTGAGCTTCTCCTTCTTGGGGCCCACTTCCTTGGAGACGTAACCGTAGGTTTCCATGGCCCTAACCCACAGGCATAACCCCTTGGCGGCCGCGGACACCTTGCCGACGGCCTCGGGCGTGAAGTCCGGGTTGCTCGTGAACTTGGAGATCTTCTTGAGCAGCGAGTCGACCTGAGAAGACGGGTCAAAAGACGCCTCAGAACCGAATGAAAGGATTTGGAGTTTGGCGTCGTTCAAGGGTTGATTGCAGGAACGGTATTTCAAGATTCGATTTTCGAGGAAAGGCCGGCATCAAGAGACTGCTTGATTGGACTGCAGGGCTGGCTAGATATGATCTGAGATAAGGCGATGCTTCCAGAAAAGAAGAGCCTCATGAGAGCCTCATCCTAGTTGATCTTGTGTTCTTGGCAGCATTCCCCTGCATCATGCCTCGCACTCCCGCCTGCATAGCTCCTTATTGAGAGCGATCTGTTGAATAATCCAAAGGCTCCCAAGAATTTGAGACGTCAACACGCGCCGTCCTCAACAGCTGGTCCTTGCTGTGTTTGAGCAGCTCTCTAAAACTTTGAGCCGTCTCCGAACGCAGTCTGACGCATGCTGAACGAAAAGCATAGAATCCCGCTGAACTCAAAGCGGGTAGGAGAGCAGAATAACCAAACCAAACATTTTCTCCTACCAGCTGGTCCTTGTCGTACTTGAGCAGCTTCTCCAGGAAGTTGGCGTCCCCGAGCGCCTTCTTGATCTCGTCCCAGCTCGTGGGTTTCTTCAGCACGGTCATGACGCCCCCCAGCGCCAGCTCCACCAACGGCGGCGGCTTCGCGTACGCTTTCACTTCGCTCAAGTCCTTCTTCGTCAGCACGTTCAGCGCGTCCTCGGCCGCCTGGCAGATAGGGTTAGGGAGGCCGGTTAAGAGATTGAAAAACGATCTGGAAGTGGTCGAGAATTTTCAAAGCTTTGTCGGCCGGCTGACAGGGGGAGAGTCAGAAGGGCGGACTTGACGTAAGAAGGGTTTGAGTTACGAATTTCAGGATTGTAGGACAAGGTGGGCATGGCAGAAGCTTTTTGTTGGTGAAATCTCACTGGCGAACGTTGAAAAGCACTCGAGGAGCCAAAGATGATATAGAACCTGATGACCGGAGCCATTCCGCAAGCTCTCGGCTGCTCGCTAGCGTAGATAGCCCTCAGAACCAGCACCTTTGTGATTTCCAGACGCAGATTCTCTGCTGTGGGTTTGAAAAGCGAAGCCCTTGCTGCTGCTCATTGAAGGCCCTCGCGGGTGCATCTTCAGTCTTACCTGTAGGGCTGGCAGGGCCTTGTCCAGGTCGCGCTGACAGTCGGTGGCGATGGCGTTGCACTCCTCCGCCTCCTTCTCGATCTTGCTGGCCTCCGCGTTGACCTGGAGCAGGGTGCGATCAGTGAGCATATCAAAATTTTGAGGCATCTACAGACGGTTGAGATGAGGATGCGACTACAGGAAGGCTTTCAACAGAGAAGACCGCTTGACGGAAGCCTTTGGTCTCGCAGAGCACAGGCAGTATCTCTCTCGCGCATGCTCGAGAAGGTCTTAAAGAAGCCTTCCTCGCCTCACGCCAAGCCTCCGGATCAGCTTCAAGCTTATCTTGGAGATCAGCGCGGGCAAGACGCTCCCTTCCTGTATCATGCGGTTTAAAATTGTCTGAAACAGTAGCCAACTTTTCGAAAGATCCTGCCCAAAACCTCCGCTGCGAAGTTTTGGGGCTGAGCCTCGAAGCCCCAAAACCCTTGAACTCAAAGCGCGCGCGCGGCCGCACCTGTCGCTCCTGCTCGTCGACGGCGCGCTTCTCCGTGACGATCTCCACCAGCAGCTCCTCGCAGTCCTTCTTGGCCTTGGCGACGACGACCTTCTTCTCCACGCACACCACCTGCATCGCGCCCACCTGCTCGCGCGTCTCGTCCAGCTTCTGCAGCCCGCCGCGCAGCTTGCCCGCGCTCTCGCCCAGCGCCGCATTCTTCTCCTTCAGCAGCTGCCGATACCTGGGAGAAAAAAGGTGGGTTTAAGAACCTGGCGCTGCCCTGTCGCCCGGGATTAACCGCCGGTCTGCTGCTTTAAATCTGTAAAAAACCTGCGGGGACATGGACGGCGTTGCATCTGTTAATAGGCGTTAACGGCTTTGCGGCGTTGAGGCCCAGTGCCGCGTTCTTCTTCTTCAGCAGCTGGAGATACCTGGCGGGAAAGTAAGAGGGGTTTAAGAGGGCTTTTGGATCTGGCGGCCGCGCCGCGCAGCTTGCCCGCGCTCTCGCTTAGAGCCGCGTTCTTCTCCTTCAGCAGCTGGCAGTACCTGGAGAGAAAAGCGGGGGTCCTGATCGAAGTGTACATTTCAACGTTGCTGTTTCGCCCAGCCTCCGCTTGCTTTTACTCGTAACTGGCTGAAGTTCAGGAGAGTTTGCAAGGAGACGCGGGAATCCCTCTGATAAGATTAGCAATTTTGCGCGGGTGAAGTCAGGCGCCACATCCTCGTCTTCACCAGAGGTTGGCGTCGTTGCAATACGTTGGAGATGCAATAGTGGCGTTACTTTGTTGCTCAGTTGTGTGCTTATCTACTGTTTGCAGTCTGGGTAGCCTGTGGAACAACATAAGAAGAACAGCCTTTCTGGATAGTTCTTAACGTTCTAACGTTCTAACAGAACAAACACAGGCACTTTCAAAAGAGCTAGGGGCGGCGACCCACCCTTTGGCGAACTCGAGGTAGTTGGTGGGCGTGACGTAGACCTGCCGCTTGAGCTGCTCCTTCATCTTTGCTGACGTGTCCTGCACCGATTGGTGCGCCGTCACGAACACCTGGCAGATGGCGGCCTTCACCTCGGGCGCGCCCAGCTTCTCCTCCTCCAGCAGCTTCGTGGCGACCTCCAGCAGCGCGTCCGCGGGCCACTCAATGAACCTGGTCGCCAGAAAGGTTGACACCAGGTCAAAGGACAGATGCCAGCAAACAGAACAACAAAGAAAAGGACCGGCTTTGAGCTACCCAAAACCTTCCAGAAGAGAAGCTTGTACAGCGACTTGCTGCTCGACAAAGTTCAGAGTCCTTGCGGGTGGATAAGGCACATTGTGCCATTCGGCGAAGACCTTCAGCGAGCCGTTTTTGCGCTCAAGTCCAGCAGTCTTGATGTTCTAAGGGATGGTACAAAACTTTCATCCAAGAGTTTTGCGTCCCTGCTCCTACTCCATCACCAAAGTCATCCTCGAACATGCCCCCAAACCCCAAATCCAGGCATTATTCCCCGAGCACACTTACCAGTCGATGGTGGTGCAGTTGACGAGGCCGGGGAACATGCGCAGCCGGTTACGGAACGCCTCCCCGACGGGGCTCAGGCACAGCACCACGTGCAGGTTCGCGCGCACGCGCTCCAGGAAGAACGCGTACAGCGCGTCGCCCGTCTCGCCCGCGCCCGCGCGCTTGGCCGCGCCGCGGCACTCCTCGCACACCGCCTGGATCTCGTCCTTGGTGAACAGGTTCGGCACCTGGACGAGGGGTTTAAAGGTTAAGAATCTTACTTCAAGATGTTCGTTCTGACAAGTGTCCCCGGTGTTTACGGTCTGGCTAAAGTCTGGTTGAATAGGTCCAGGGTGATCATGCTGCAGGGGCTGTAAAGACTTTTGGGACTCTGAAGATCTGGTCAAGGATGGGTCGCATGTTAAACCAGAAAGGTTTGCTCAGCATCTGGACTTCTGAGCCCCAAATGACTTCGCTCAGATGCGCGAGGGCGGTGGTGAAACGGTTCTGAATAAGGTTCAAACTTCAGCTAACTGCCCGCTTAGAATCTAGCCGAGAACCTACTGAATTAAGAAAGCTCTTGCTTCATGAGTTCAGAGCAGTCAGGGAAAATGCAGGAACGGTCGCCAAGATCCTCTACGAACCCTCGAAAGTCCATTAAAATGGCGTCAAGGCCACGTAGTATTTGCCGCTCACCTCGCCACTGGTGAGGATGTTATTCACGTCCTCCAGGAAGGTCTCGGTTACAATTTGAGTGTCGTCGAAGAGGAAGACCGTCGGCCGGGGGTTGTCCCCGGCCCCCGCCTGGCGATACAGCGTCTTGAGGTCCTCGTGGAACTCGGTCGCCCGGTAGTTCTTCACGATCTCGATGCTGAACACCTGCGATTGGCAGAGAGGTGGAAGGCTCTCGACAGGGTCTGGAAAAACTAGGGTGAGTTCATCTGAAAATGTGTAACCGTTATTTGGGGTGGATTAGAGGTCTGACATTATTACGGTATTCAAGTTATTCAAGAAATGTTAGACGGTTCAGGAGAGATATGAAGTCTGGAGACGCCCTTTCTTAGAGACGAGGGATCTGCGCCTACGCAAAGAAACATCCTTAACCGTACCGGGTTACGGGTTAACGGGGTTACAGGGTGTACTTAGCCAGGCAAGCTGAATCTGAGAAGATTCACCCTCGTTCCAAACATGTAGTATTTGGCTTATTGAGCAACTTTTTTGGACGATTCTGCTCACCTTGAGCTCTGCGACGTATGCCGCCAGCCGCGCCAGGCTCTTCCGCCCGCTCCCGCCCACGCCGACCAACAGCGCGTTGCCACGTGGCTGCATGAGCACCCGGTGGATCCGGCACACGTGGTCCAGCGCGTCTCGGAACAAGACCAAATCCATAACTTTCGCCCCGGGCTCTAGTCCGTAGTCTTCCATCTTAGTCTGGAGCACCTCTTTCAGGGCCGGGAAATCTGCGACCGGTTCGTACGGGGGATTCTCTACCGGTCGCATGAAACTGACGAACGGCTGCATGGCCCCGTCCCCGTTGATCGCCTTCCAGTCGGTGGAAAAGGCGGCGATGAGGCGACCGTTGAGCTGGTTCTGGAGCCATGCTTTGTCGCCCTTGTCCCACATGCGGTCGCCGAAAATGCGGAAGCACTCGTGGCACCAGAGCTGGAGCATGGACTCCCTGCTGTCGTAGTAGCCGCGCGAGGCCTGCAGGAGGCCCTGTACCACCTGCGAGAAGCGAACATACGAGGCGTTCTAATCTGAGCCTCCGTTTTACAGGGCCTCTGCGCTCATTGAACTTACCAATCAAGTTGACAGTCACTCTGGAAACCCAGTTCTGTGCAAATTCAGTTCACCGCCAAAAGGACCGATTCCAAGGCTGCAGAAACTTGAAAGGACTTTATTTCGGTTCCGGGAGCAGTTCAGTAAACAACACACTCCGCAAGCTGCCTATAGTACTGATTTCGATTCTAAGCGTATCGATAAGGTGATGGCAAACTTGGATAGATTCCTGACATTGCAACCTTCTAGCGCGTCACACTCATTCTACCCACCTTTGCCAGGTCCCTGATGTTGAACAGGTAGTGGCTCTTGCTGGGCGTCGGCAGCAGCTCCGCCGTGATCGTGTTGTACACCTCGATCGACGCCTGCGTGAGTGCGTCACCCATGGGCTTGATGTCGTCAGCAAAGTCGGCGAGCTTGGCGTTGACCATGGTCCCAAAGATGCGCTTCAGTTGCGCGTCGCTCGGGGCGGTCACGTTTACGAGCGAGAAGCACGCCTGCACGCGCTGGCTGAACGCGTTGCGGCCGCCGCCGGGGGGGGCCATCGCCGCCAGGAGCTGCGGGGAAAAAAGGGGGGGTTTTCGAAGAGTTGCAATTGTTTGGAGATTGTTTTTGCTAGGATGTAGCAGCTTCAAGAGCGGTGAAAAAAGGGCCGAACGCGTTGCGCCCGCCGCCGGGGGGGGCCATCGCCGCCAGGAGCTGCAGGGGGAAAGGAATGGGGAGAAACCTGTCAACCTTGATTTGCGACTCCAATGGCTTGTGACACGTAACAAAGGCCTGGTAAGTTGGCTGCTATGTGGGCTTTCACATGACACGGAACATGAAGTTCGTCTCTGCTTTATCACAAGGCTAGCAACGGTAAATACTACCGGTAGTTGCCTTACGGTATCAAGCATAGCATAGAGCCTAGCAAACTGAGCTTGAACGACAGAGACAGCCTGTAAGACTCTGTTCATTGACTCCAGGGTCCGATGGACAGGTTTCGTAGACCCTTGATGGCCCAGAAATTTAGTTTTACAGAACTTTCACATCCCAAACATGAAAGGAATCAGATCTCAACGTAGAAGTCAAGACTGCGAGCCCACCTGCATGTCCTTGATCTGCTTCACCTCCTGCTTCTGCCGGTCGTACCAGAACCCGTTGTCCACCCACAGCTTCAACAACTCCAGCGGCGGCATGAACCCGAACTGGCTCTTCTTCGGCATGTTCAGATCATCAATAAAGCACGCTAGCCGTTTCCCCCCGGCGGGCGCAAACACCCCCTTCGTCCGCTTTTCTAACCGTCCCTCGATCGTGTCCTGCAGACTATTTGAACTAGTCTGGGCGCTAAAGTTGATCGTCATCGCGGCGCGGCCCTCGGGGAGCGCGCCTAAAACCCCCTGCACGATCAGGGTTTTGCCGACGCCCACGTTGCCGACGACGAGCGCGTGCCTGTTCGCGAGCACGAGCGCGCGCAGGACGTATTCCGTACGCCGCGTGTCGACCGTCGGGACGACGATCTTGAAGAAGGGCGCGTCGGGCGCGGGCCGGAAGTTGGCGGACAGCTTCTCTTCCCAGGGGGCCCACCCGTGGCGCTTCGGGTCCACGAAATATTCGTACACCGTCTCGGACGTCGGGAAGCTGCGGACGGCGGAAAACTAGGGTTTCAATTCTGTGGGGCTTAGCGCTTGGAACATGGTCTTAATAAGGATGAAAGTTTTTTGACCTCAACACTTGATGCGTGTGGTAAGAATTGTAAATTTCATTTGCTACGAAGTGCTGGAATTCCATAAAAGGGTACACTCGAGGCAATCTGGGACAAAGTTTTGTGAACTTCTGTTATTAAACGGAACATGACACCAACGTCTGGATTACGCATGCGGAGGTCATGCTGCAAGCATCCCACCGTACCAGAGCAGGTTTCAACGGAAGCTCTCTCCGTCTGAGACGGTCGGTACTTTGACCTGAACGCGCAATCTACAACCCCCAAGTTACAAACGCCTAAACCCTTCTCAAACGCTTAAATTAGAAGCCACCCCGCGGCCGCCTCACCGCGCGTCCTGCTCCTTGAGGAACATGTCGAACTTTTTGCGCCCGTCCTCGTCCACGCTCGCGCCCAAGCTCCAGATGAGACTGAACAGGAACCACAGCTCGATCATCGGCACGTAGTGATCGCCCTCCACGGCCGCGACGCCGTTCTCGGCCGTCGCGAGCGCGTCGAAAAGCGTGCAGAGGGAGACGACTCCGTTGAGCCTATCGATGGGCACGGTTTCGCGGCACTCGCGGCGGCGGAACTCGGACGTGGCCTCGACGTACTTCTCCATCATGCGCTGTGAGAAGAGGATTAGGGAGGTGGTTAGCAGAGGGGTTAGGCGCGCACATCAGAGAGCAAGTGTGGGCTTCAGTGGCAACGGTATCGCGGCATCCGCAGGCGACTTATAAGAATCCATCACCCTACTTCAGGGCGCTTGAAGGAGAACTTCGTTGCTGCAACGTTTGAGTATCCGACAAAGCTTGCTTTCTAATACTGCTTTTTTGAGCTGCCTACGCGGTCATAGACAGTTTCTGATCCGCTTCGACAAGAATCGGTTCCAAACTTGTAACGTAAGCGCGCGCGCACCTTGAGCGTGTCCACTAGAACCTGGTCCGCGCCGGCGGCCTGCTTCTTCTGGAGCCATGACGTCACGTAGGGCCACCAGCCGAGGTCCTCCACGTTGAGGTAGATCATGCCCGCCCGGGAGACTGTGGCCGGGGATGCCTGAGACAAGTCCTCCACCTCGAACAGAATGGATACCTGCCCAGAGGAATGCGTCGGGTGACAAATGGGTTGGTCAGCAGTTGAATTATCGGGAAAGGCTCAACGAGACGGAAAGTGACGTGTTTGTGCAGAAGCAGTTTGGAGCATTTCATGGATGAGAAAGCCGCGTGATTCTCTCGTAGTCCTGGATCCTAGTAAAGCGAAGCCCTGTATGTTTTCTCCAAGCCCTGCATCTGAAACTGGAGTTTGAAGCGGAAACACTGGGATCCGCCCAATTCAGGACGTAAAACCTTGAAACAGTACGTCGTTGGGGGATCTCAAAACGCTGGAGCTGCCCAGCGTGATGACGAAGTTTCACTAAGTCGCACGAAACCTGAACTTCAGGGGTCATTGGAAGTATAACGAGCTGCAAGACTGTTCCAGACCTAATGTTAAAACTCCAAAGACTGCCCACCTGCGCCGGCATGGATATGCGCTCCCCGCTCAGCAGCGTCAGCAGCTTGTTGTCGTCCAGCAGCGTATTCATGCTCTCGATCCATAGCGTATCCACCGGCCCGTCGAACAGGATCCACTTCTGGTCCGAGCTCTCGTCCTTGCACACCTCGCGCATGATGCGCGCGAGGATTCCGTCCGTCCACTCGTGCGTCGCCTCGTCAAAGGCCCCGTACAGCTCGTTGTTGCTGAGCGCGAGCGGGTTTATGGGGTATACGTGGACGCGCTCGAAGTCTTCGAGGCCTTCTTTTTTGAGGCGCGCCATCGCGCGCGTGAGGCACTTCCAGGCCTCCGACTTGCCGGAGCCGGTCTTGCCCACGATCATGTTGCCGTGGCGGGCGACCTTGCAGTCGTAGATCTGGAAAAGGAGGTCGCCGGTAAGAGTGAGCAGCTGGCACGTACGTAGATTCCTTGCTGAGAGTAGTCTCTCAGGGGAATTCTTCGATCACTTGTTCCATCAACTCTTCTTCTACAGGGAAGTATTCAACGAGCAGGGAAATCGAAATCATGGAACCCGAAAACTGCAATGTATAGGCGAGTATACTGTTCGAAGCCAGAGTAGAGAACCCAAGACGCTACTTACGCATAAGTGAGAGCTACTCAGAGACATAGAAAGCTACGCTGAACATTTATTATGGGAACCAATTTATCCCCTGGAGGCAAGTTTTGGTCAGCATTGCAGTTCGGGGGCTTCCTTCTTCAGAGAACCAGTTTCCGACCGGTGAATCCACTGTCAAAAAAGCACTACAGTCTTTTCTGACCTTCAAATCATCGCCCCTATGCATCGATCCGATTATTCCTGCATATGGTCCTATGTGGAGGTCCGGTATCAAACAGCTCTGCTGACGCACCTGAATGATTTTGGTGACGAACGCAGGCACGACCTGCAGCCCCGCGGCGAGCAGCTCTTCCTCGAGCGCTCTCCGGAGTGCCCCCCCGTCCACAGCGGCGATCTCGACCCCCGGGAACAGGTCGGAAAGCAAGCTCATGAAGAGCGGCAGGTCGGTGTACACCAGCTTGGGCATGATCAGGTCCTTCATCGTGCGGTACATGATCACCTGGGGGCGGCAAATAGAGCGCTCATTGAAAGCGACTGAAAACAAAGTTGACTTTTCCGTTTTGAAAAGTTACACCGCTGACACGCGCGTCTAGGGCTTTCCGCTTCCGCCCCCTTCCAGTAACGGTTCTTAGGGTGGCATCTACCTTTGTTTTAGTGATTCTGTTTCCTTTCACATTGCATTACCATCATATCCACATAGCACGGTTTCGCTGCTCCGGTAAAGATCACCCTCCTTAAACGCACTTCAGTCTCTTTTCTCTCACAAGCTCGTTAGGATCCTTTAGCAACGACAAGGAAGTCAGCCGCGCAATCAGAAAGGCCTTCTATAGCTTTCTGACCCAAGACCCCAGAATTCTGAAATCGTGGCAAAATACACCCTGGAAAGTGTCCTGAGTTCGGACGCTCTCACCTCTTCGGACGCGTCCGGGTCCGTCCGCTTCATGGCGCCCGCGGCGCGGCTGATGGGGATGACGAAGGAGCGCAGGCCGTAGTCGTAGTGGTCCTGCTTCGACAGCTGCTGCTGGCTCAGCTCCATGATCGCAATCATCTTCTTGGCCAAGATCTGGACAACGGGGGTTTGGGAAGCGGTTAGTAGAAATTATGAAGCTTCTAAGGTGGGCGCAATGGCGGAATCAGATGAAACCTACAAGAAGTGGCATTGAACACAGCTAGTGCTGGCTGGATACCCAGGATGAAAGTGAACGTCTTGACCAGAATCTGAAGGTCAGGGTTCACGGTGGGGTCGATTGGTTTCGAAGAGGTAAATATTGTTCCACGAGAGAATTTGTGGAGGCTAGAGTTTCGAGACTTTCGAATTTTTCTGGCACCATGGATCAGCTGCAGCTCAATCGAAACGAACCGCTATTGAAATTACACTGGAGAAGTGAAACCCCGCCTCTTCTAGTTCTCTGCTTTCTAAAACGAACTTCATGTGAGCCTGAGGGCAAAACCTCGCAGAGGCCTCACCTTGGCGGACTGGAAGCCCTCGGAGAACATCATGATCTCCGCGATCAGCGTAAAGTCGGGGACCATCATGGACACCGGACGCAGCATGGCCTTCAAATTGTCCGGCAGCTCGGACCGTCCGGCGTAGCCGGGGTTCATGGTCACGAAGATTCCGCACGTCGGGATGAGCCGGATTTCCGTCCCCTCGAACACGAAGCGCGGAACGCCGGCCTTGATGGCGCCCATGACGCACGAGATCTGAGAAGCCACCACGGAGAGCACCTGCATAGGAAACGGAAATTTCAGTTTGAGGGGGGCCGCTTTAGAAGCGGCTCTTTATCAAGAGACTGTACGCGGCTTTCGATGCGGCAACTGGAAGCTTTCTCGTGCACTTACTAGAGGGTTTTATTACGGGGAACCGTTGATCGCCGCAATCTAAATCTGGCAGAGAACCGCCCCTTCTCAACGGTATTGAAACGCACAGCCTGCGGCAGGGAGTGCCGAATAGCTATTGTAGCAGTATATAATCTCAAGAAAGTGATGCTCTGCCTACTTAACCCAACTCTGCTGCAAAGATTTCAGTGGCTGCAGAGGAAGACGCGGTCACAAGCACGCAGAACGTCGGCGCTCACCTCGACCTCAATACGGTTGAATTCGTCGAGGCAGGCCCAGGCGCCCGTCTGCGCGAGCCCCGAGAACATCTTGCCCGTCATCTTGTAGTCCACGCCGTCCGAGCAGTTGAACACGATCACGTACCTGGGTCAACAAAAGAGGGAGAATTAGGCGGCCCCGATCGCTCGCTCGCGCGCGCGCCAGATATGCGCGCCGTGCCCGGTCCAATTGACTAGCTAACACCGAAAATTTCAAGCCAGACAGAAAGGACCAGCTTTTAAGTACGACCATCAAACCCGGGCAAAAACCCCTATGTTACATAAGAAGCAGTTATAAAGTTCTGGTAGCAGCCCACCTCGCGAGAGCCTTTCCAAAGTCCTTGACGGTCTCTGTCTTCCCGGTTCCGGCGGGGCCCAGCGGATTGCCGCCTCGTCTGGTGAAGAGCGCGGCTCCCAGTGTCATGTAACACCTGAAGGTACAGAATGATCATCATTGGCCATGCTTCATGCGCCCCAGATTGAAAAAGCCGATATCCAACAAACGCATCAACAGGGTCCACGAACCAGTGAACGAAGTAGATCTGGGGCGTCGTTATAGGCTAGGCCAGCATGGAAGATGCGGACGGAAACAATCTACAGCAACAGACATCGGGGGATCCCGAGGAGCAGGTTTTGCGCCCTGCTTTGCAACGAAAAAGCAGTTCAGGTAACCGGAAAGCCTCCCACCTGTCCGTCAGGGGGGTGATGACCAGACGACCGTTGTTGCCCTGATACTCGTAACCGTAGACGAACACCGACAAGACCTGCGCGAGAAAACTATGGGTTAAGACAGCTTGCGATTTGCGTTTTAACCCGAAGACGTTCGAAAAAGTTGTATAAAGCTGTAAGGCTGCAAGATGAAGCCTGTAAATGGTTGGACCCCTGCTGTGTACGCGGAGCTTTGCAGAGGGCCCAAACACTGTATAAGAGTCAAGATCTGGTGTTGGAGCTGAAGGTTGCGGTCAAATTTTTGATGCTAGGCTACTTAGCAATGCAGTCAAGGCCGTGTTACGGAGGCTCGCTTTCTATGTCCCAGTTTCTGACTTCCTCTTGGCATTGCTGCCAGAATGATCTATGTACACGAAATTTCCTCGAACTGGTGACTAAGTTGTTTGGGTGCAGTGGAGGATCCGCAACTTTGGGGGTTTAAAAGAATCAAGGCAACTCGCCTGCTTGATGATGCAGTCGTTGGCGTCCTTGTCCCAGTAGAAGCGCAGCTGCGACGCCCACTCAAAGTCGTTGGGGCTGGAGCAGCCCACCTTGCCCAGCTTTTCGATCACGTCGCGCGCGTGCACCTCGATCGTGATCAGCGACACCGTCTGCACACGTCAGCAGACGTGAGCTTCTAATTTGGACTTCTATTCTAATGCAAAGTTAAACGTACTACTAGAGTCCTTCTTCTGTTGCCGGCTTCACTACACGCAAGATATCAGCGTAACAGATCTGCAGAGTTTCCCAACCTTCTTCTTCGCAGCCCAAGTTAGGGGCCCGAATCGGGTCATGGGGACTTTGCATTGGCCAGAGTTTCACATGCGCATAAAAGTGTTATGTCGAACTGGCTTCTTCTGCTTTGCAGCGACTTGAAGGCCAAAATAAGCAGAATATAGGCAGGTTGGAAAAACTTGGCTTGTGTCTGTCAGACTCCCCACCTTGAGGCGGTCGATCTTGGAGAGCTTGCTGCGCGTGACGGCCGTCAGCTTGTTGAGGTAGCTGACCCACTTCTTCTTCAGCAGCTTCAGCGCGGCGCGGCTGTTCTCGGGGTCCGCGAGCGCGCGCTCGCACTCGTTAGTCCACACGATCTGCACATGGCACGAACAACGAGAATAAGACGATGTCGAATCCAAAAGCCTAGGAGGGAAGGCAACAGAACCGTCTTCTTCATACCCAGTAGTTCACGAGTTAACATCCATGTGGCAAAGATGGGGCACAAAGCTCAAAAATTTTAAAATCGTGAACCCTGAAAAGGATAAAACAGAATGAGTCAGAAGGCGTCTGATCTCAAGCAGCAAAGAAAGCGCCCGCGTAACGCTGATTACCCTCTGTGATAGCAAATTGCGCTGCTCGGCGACAGTATCAATTCGAAAGTCTAGATACCTGTAGCTTTTCACCACATTGACCTCAAACTTGTGTGTCATGCTAATTTCAGGTCCTCTGTACAAAGTCACGAATTCTGTCCCAGCACCCACTTGGCCCGCCGTGATAACGCACTGGCCCGGGTTGTCCTTGAGCCACTTCTCCTTCTTGCTCCCGCGGCTCTCCTCTAACGTTTTAAACAGGTGCTTCTTGGTCGTCGCGAACATGGCCGCCTCCACTTTGTTGAGCCACTCCTCCGGGCGACTCTCGGTGATCACCGGGGACGAAAACGGCAGGTACTCGCCGTCGGGGGAGAAGATGCCGGTCGCCTCCGTGTGGCGCCGCCCGTCCGCGCCGGGGGTGTGCATCTCCAGCTTCTTGATCCCCTCGAAACATTTCTTGAGATGCGGCTGCGGTAAGAGAGGGCAGAGGTAAGGGAGACCGATCGCTCGGATTTGATGTTATGCGTACCGGCAATTGACTTTCTCTTTAAGAGTGAATAGCTCTTGCAAACCGGTTATTCAGAGTTGAGAACCGCAGTGCTCAGGGATCCATCATTGTCTTCAGTATGCTCCGTTTGCCAGAAGTACGAAAATTTGGCAGTACAATGGATACCTAGTCGTCAAGCACTATCAAAGCTGGTCCCCGGACTCGCACAGAGAATGCACTGCTTCTTAAGACACCTTACGCTTCGCAAGCGAAATGTTTCCAGAGCCACACAAGACAAAAAGCGCAGCACACCGCACAAGTCCCCTGAATGCCTTATGAGCACAAAACGCGCGCGCGCGCGCGCGCACCTGGACGTTGAGCGGGTCCTTGGCCTGGCCCAGGATCTCCAGCAGGTCGTCGGAGGAGAGGAAGTAGAAGCGCGGGAATTGCTGCCGCTTCTTCTCCAGGTAGTTCTCGAGCGACTTTTGGATCCGCTCTAGTTTTCCGTCCATGTCGTTCAGGCCCTCCAGCAGCCCCGGCGCCGTCGTGCCTGCGGATGGTGAAAGCAGGTGTCATGTGACGGAGCCCGCCGGAACGGGGCCGGAAAACGGACGCGTTTCTTGCAGCAGCGCTCGGCACCACGGTAGCCGTGGGACAACATGGTTTAGGGGAGCTTTGGGTCCTTTGCAGTTTGCTTGAAAAGCAGTAGTGCCTTTGTTTCAACGATTGAAACCATGTGGAAAGGATTGAGGAGCCGTGTGAGTATCCAGACCAGTCTTTGACGCTTCCAAGTAAAACGCTTCTTTCAGCAGTGAATATGATCTCTACGAAGTCCCCTATCATCATTACAAAGTGCCATAAGAAGACCAATCCGTCTCTCCAAAACACCAAGAGCAATCTAACGACCCACCTTTGAGCACGTTCTTGGTCTCATACAGGCCCTTCATCGCCTCGACGAACGCGGTGTTAACGGAGTCGAACATGGCCGACTCTCCGGGCAGCTGTTTTCGAATATCCTCACTGCCCACAAAGATGTTTTCCAGGTACATCCACTGGCGCTGCACTTGCAGGATCATCTCAATCGTGTTGGACACGTGGGCGAGCGACTTTTCCCAGTACGTCAGCTCCTTCTCAAACGCTAGGTAGAAGCGGCTGGCCTTCATGGTGGACAGTGTTACCGTGTTGTCCTGCGAGGGGGGGAGAGGAGTGGTTTTGTTTTCTGGTACATGACAAGTCTCTGAAGCTTCGCTCAATTCGGTGAGATGGTCTGAATTGATCGGACGTCGCATGCGCATCAAATGAGAGGCGAAAAACCCAGAGGTATCAAAAATCTGTCTGTCAAGAGTCTGTCGGGACGTGGCCTTGTTCCGAAAAGAGCAAAGAAGGAACTCTGTGCCGCGGACATCTGGGACTATCTACTGTGGTTGTCCGCCTCGGCTTGTCGCACAAAACTTGAGAACAGATGCTTGAGATTTTCTGCTCAGGTCAAGAAGTATTACCACACAAGTTGGATGGCAGCTTCTGATCGGATGTCCTTGCTGACGTTCTCTGAATCATCGCCCAGAACCGTCAGCATAGCGACGCCTTTTGACGCTTTCCTCCTTGCAATCATCTACTCCATCATTCAAACCCGAAGGCCCTTCTTGCAGGTAAGTAGCTCTAAAGAAGAAGACCTCGCAAAACCCGAGCTGACGCCAGGATGACGTCATCCCCCCACCTCCAGCGCCGCGAAGACGTCCTCCGTGCCCCGCAGCTTGTAGACGCCCTTGTGCGTCTCCTTGTACGGCACCATATCCAGCACGAGGTCGGTCCACGCGGCCGCGATCGCGGCGAGCGACTGCTCGATGGCCATCTCCTTGCTGCTGTTGGTGCTCAGCTCGCCCACCAGCTCCGCGTGCATGTCCAGCCGCAGCTCCGTCACCTGCGCGCGCGCGAAATTGGACGATTTTAGGTTTATATATCAATTGGATTCTTTCTCAATTAGATTTGCTCGTTGTTGCTGCTGGTGCTAAGCTCGCCCACCAGCTCCGTGTGCATGTCCAGCCGCAACCCTGTCACCTGGGCGCGCGAAGGATCTGGAGGTTTTACAGATTCTGGATTCGAGGGAATCTGAGTTGCTGCTGCTGGTGCTTAGCTCGCCCACCGGCTCCGGGAGCATGTCCAGACGCAGCTCCGTCACCTGCGCCGCGCGGACAGTTCGGGATTTACAGTCTAGGGCTCAGGATTCGGGGGTCGGGCCGGTTCATGTATCAGATTGTTCGAGTATGATTCAATTCGGTACAAGTGTCTGAGCGTCGCTGTGCAGCCGCAGCCGCGTTGCTTGTGCAAGCGGGCAAAGGTTTCGCGCTGGAGACTCGCTGGTAGTTCTGAAGAAAGTTGGGACGGCCGTTTTCTCCAAAGCCTCCGATGGACCGGAAGCCACGGCTCCAGGATCGGGAAGTGTTTTTAGGGTATTTCAGGACCTTAGTGATTCCGCAAAGTCGACGGAAAACTCACTTAGGAGCTCGAAGAACATCTGTGGCGTTGTGAATCGAAGCGACTATCCCTATCTGCCGCAAAGCCAGTCCTTTGCTCCAAGGCTGTGACTGAACAACTGTACTGGCACGACTCGACAGAATGCGCAGGTTTGAGCATTCCCCGCACCTTGGCGAGCGTGAAAGCCGCGGAGTTGGGGTCGAACTGCGCGCCGACGGCGTCCATGAGCTGCTGCCAGTGCCGCGGCCGCATGGCGGGGTTGCGCAGGTCGATGATAAGCGGCATCGTCTTCTTGAACGCGTCGATCGTGTCGCGGATGTCGCTCCACACGGACCACCTTGACAGGGAGGAAGGCGGACGGTGGTCAATTTCGGGCGTCCACATCGACAGCGACGTCGACTTTCAGCTTTTCCCAGCTGCCAATGCGTCTCTTGCGAAGGCTTTCGACTCTGGTGCGACTTTGTCGGCGTAACAAACGCTCCGAGTGAAGGTCAGAATCCTCGGAAACCTGGCTTTCAACTTGAAATCAAGTGAACGTCTATAGTTTTCGAGTCAGCAGATTTCAGTTGCACTATCAAACCTTTAATTAACCGCAATCGAGGAGCGGAGCGTGCTCCTTAAGAAAGACGGATTCAACACACTGAGGCTATTCTTTCAGTTTCAAACGATCCACATGTGAAACAATATTGCGAGCAAGAACAAGGGAGCGCGAGCGCACGTTTTGATGTCGCGCCCGAGCTTGGTGACTCGCTTGCTGCACTGCTGCGCGGCCGCCTCCATGGCCGCCACGTCGAGCGCCTTAAACTGGCCGTCCTTCCAGGAGCTATAGGAGTCCTGCCACTCCTTCTTTAGGCCCCAGATGCCCTCTAGAAGTTCCAGGTCTTTCAGCGTGGCGGCGGTCTCCTTGTACGCGGGCTGCTCGATCGCGAAAATGTCCATACCCGACTTGAGCTCCTTGGCGCGCCGCTGGTTCGCCTCAACCTGCGGGATTGAGGGTCGGTTTAGCGACAAACCTGGTTGAGAGATCCAAACCCAGCCCTGTAAATTTGAAGATTGAAAGACTCGTGGAACAAACTTCAGAGAATGAGCTGTCTGCAAACAGTCAGTTGCGCGGATTTCATTGGATGATGGCTGCGTCGATCTGAGCACGATGACGAGTAAGAGCGTTCAGCATTTCAGCATGACCATTCGAAACTAAAGCTGGAAACTTTAAGAGGGGTGGCAGCTTGAACGCCACATCCTGTTTGAACTGAACATTATAACAAGCATAACCCCAGAATCAGTGTAGCAATTATCAGAGCCGCGCCGCAGCCGCGCACCTTGGCCTTCTCCTCCGCGATGAACCGCAGCGCCTCCTCCACGCTGACGTCGGCCGACGTGGGCAGGCGCGCGCCGAAGTCCGCGCGCGCCTCGGCCACGTCCTTGACGAAGCCGTCGACGATCTTGACCAGCTTCTCCCGGAAGTTGTCCTTGGCGACCTCGATGTCCCGTTCGGTGCTTTGCAGGGTCGCCTGGAAAGCCGCCCACTCGCTCGGGAGGCGCGCGAGCGCCGCGAGCTCCGACTCGGGAAGGGAGACCTGCGAGGCAAAGAAGAAGTGAGTTTTTGGGTTCTGGAACTCTTACTTGTAGCAAGCGTCTGGTTTTTTGGGAAATGTGAGATCCACGGTCACGTGAGTGTCTTTCAAGGTCCTGCCGTTAGTGTCATTGCAAATATGCTTTCCTTTCCCTGCAACCTCTGAAACTTTCACAAGATTTTCCTTCCCCATATATCTTTTCTTAACCTTTCCAGAGCGAGTGCTTGAACCTTCTGAGGTTCTCGATACAAAGCGGGCTTCCCCGCTCTTGCTCCCAAACCCCTCCCTGAACCCCTAAAATTGTTCAATAAGTGCCCCAAACCCTTCTCAAGCCCTCTCTAACCCGCTTCGGACTTTTCCAGCGTTTTTTACTTGTCCTGCAGCGGCTTGAAGCCCGTCTGCACACTCGGACGCTCCCAAACTACCCCTTTACAGTTCAGAATCCTGCCTTAACCACCCGAAGTTCTGCGCAAACCCGCCCCTAACCCACCTCGAACTTTTCGAGCGTCTTGTATTTGTCCTGCAGCGGCTCGAAGCGCGCCTCCACGCTCGCGCGCTCCTCCACCAGCTTCTTCCACAGGTTCACGCTCTCCGCGAGCACGTCCAGGTTGACAGGTGGCGCGCTCAGGGCTGTCGTGTTGCCCGCGAAGTACGCCTGCAACGACTCCAGCTCCGCGCGCGCGAGCGAGTTGAGGAGCGCCCTGCGCGCCCGCACGGTCTGGGCCTTGTTAGAAATTTTGATATCTTCTTATAGAAGAAGAGGAAGACCGAGCAAGTACAGGGGCTCTACTGTATTTTGATGTTTTATGCAGAGGAAGAGTTGGTCTTTGTGTTGCACCTCAAAGCAGCAAAAGACTAATGAAACTGAAAAGCGATAATAAGAAGCCGAGATGGGAGTAAATTTCGACCAACATTGAAATTCCTAACCCAAAAAGATACCGGCTCCGTACCATATTCACTCTAACCACTAGATTAACCCTACCCGTCCCAGTGCGGTTACCTTATCATTATCTCGACTTCTTATTTTCCTTGAGTTCGATGGAAGACCAGACCTTCTCCTCATATGCGCAGGGCGACCCTCGAAACCGTACGGAAAACTTTGCAAAACGGCATGACCTCGACGGGGAATACGTAACAAAACCAGAGCTGACGCACGTGGCAAAAGAAGAAGAGCTTTTCAAAGATTGCCAGGTCGGTCAGCACTTCTCACGTGAACTTGGAGGTCCACTGCTCGCAGTGCTGCGTCATCGCCTGCTTGAGCGGGCCGCATTCGACGCGCAGGAAACGCATGGTGGCGCTCGAGTCCTCCCCCGCGATTTCGTCGGTCAAGTCCTTGTACTTTTGGATATCTGCCTCGAAGGCCGACAGCGGCTTCTTCGCTTTCTCGTATCTGCGAAGAGCGGGGCAAAAGAAACATGTTATCTCTGCGCAACTGAGGCGTTGCATTCCGTGTGATATCGTATGATTCTACCGCGTGCTGACAACCGGCGTTTTGAGTACGATGTAATGTGCCCTAGCTTATCACGAGTTCCAAAGCACGGCAAGTCCGAGTTTCTTAGACACAGGGTTTCTTTTTTAGTCCAATCACTCAGCAAACACAACGTTACCCTCAGCCCACCCCTCGCTTTAAATTCCACGAGATTTATAGTCAACAGATATGTCTTCGAGAAACGTGAGGATATTGCGACTTGAAACGTAAGTCCTCAAAGATTCTTGAAAGGTCGCAATTCCAGCGCATAATTTTGGCCCCACCTTCGGATGTAGGCCTCCTTGTCCTGCTCCCAGATGTGCTTGTACTTCTTCTCCCAGTACCCCAGGTACCCTTGCACCTTCTCCGCCACGCCCGACATCCCGGACGTGATCGCCACGATCACTTTCAGCGTCGTGTCCTCGTCGGTCGAGATCAACTGCGCGGGGCGGGGCGGGGATTGACGATTTGAGAAGCAATCTCGACTTCAACATTGATAAATTTTCAAATCCAGAATGAACGGGGTCTGGGTGTGCGGAGGGGAGCTCGTTAATAGTGTTGAAAACGCTTCTGAAAGCAAATCTTGAGGCTTTTTGGGTTCAAAAGCGGAGCATCCTTTGCTCAAAGGATGATGTACCTTTCCAAATGACTTTTCGGGAGAGCCGAGAGGATGCAAATGGCCAACACGAGACGAGTTTCCGACGCATTGAGAAGCGGGAAAATGTCAAATAAGCTCTGAGCACGATAAGATGGATTCTGACGAGCATCCTCCTTGCGTAAACTTTTGAAATCTTCACCTTAAGCTTGGCGAATAATTGCGGGGCCTATTCTCACCTCGTAGAAACTAGACAGCGGCCCGGGTCCGCTCAGGTCCGCCGCATTCGGATCCTGTGGTAACGGTTCCGCCAGCCTCGGAATGACGGTGATGACCGTTATCGACTCCCGGCAGACGGCGTGGATCATGTCAACTAGATCGGGCAGCGACGGCCGCAGCTCCACTTTCCCCGTGGACCGATCGAGGGCGACCAGAGTGTTGAAAATGGGCGTGACGTCAGTCTTTGCGTCGCCGTTGAGAGCCCGAGAGAGCTCCTGGAGGGAGCGCTTGACGGTCTGCCGCAGGGCGTCCTCCATCAGCTTGTCCACCTGGACGGAAATCGACACGTGTCACCTTTTGATTGGATGCGAAGAAAGATCGTCTGCCGGAGTGCGTTCGTAGATGGTGAAGATCCAAATTTTTCGACTGACTCCAAGAAGGAACCGATGCTTTCTCGTTGAGGTGCGTTACAGGTCAACATTTTCGCTCCCGTCAGCATCACATCACCTCCGTTTTCCAAGCAACTCACAGAAAGAAGAACGGCTTGGCTCAAAAGGCTGGCGAAAAAAGTCGATGCTTGACACGAAGGTAAGGGTATCAATGACCAATGCCGCTGAGACCAACGCAATCGTACTCTATTACGTCCGCTGCAGATCCTGCCGGACGATTCAGCAAGTGGCCGCAAGAGTTTACATAGCGACTGCTCTTATCGTAAACCCCACGCGCGCCGCCCCGCGGCCGCGACGCCCACCTTGTGCGTGTACTTGACCCACTCGGCGTGTACGTCGTCGGAGTCGCCCGCGAAGACGTCCGCCATCGACTCCATCGTCCGCTTGATGTCCGCGATCGCGCCCTCGAAGCGCGCGCGCACGCCCTGCCGGTGCTCTTTCTGTAAGAGCCAGGAGATGTAAGGCGTCAGCGATGATGTCAGCCACAACCATACAAAGGGCCAGTGGACATATAGACAAGAGACAGGCAAATGCAGCTCTTCGAATGCACCTTCAGATCTTCTTCCTCGTTCTGATCCGACTGCCTAAGAAGGTAAAGTTTCCGGCAATATCTCAAAGCCTTCGACATGAAAACGTCGAGACCAAAGACAAGACCGAGAAAATTCTGGGTTTGGAAATCCCAGTAAAACCTGACTGCTACAGCCGTAAACCGCGCGCGCGCACCTGCTTGGCCTCAGAGTCGCCGCTCTCGTAGACTTAGAGACTTTCATCTCCTCAGAAGTTCCGACATAAGAGTACTTCCAAAGCCCCAAAGACGCAAACGGAAACCTTTGCTTTTGGCAAACCCTACGAAAAGAAACTACTAAGATTAGTAGGACCGCGCGCGCACCTGCTTGGCCTCGAACTCGCCGCTCTCGTAGACCTTCTTCTTCTCGACGTGCACCACGAGCGTCTCGCCGATGCCCTTGCACAGCTGCTGGATGCGCGCGCTGCTCGCCTTGAACTCGCCCACCGTCGCCTCCACCTCCGCGCAGAACCGCCGCGCCTCCTTCACGTAGTACTCCAGATGGTTCTTGGCCGCGATCCAGTTCAGCTGCACGCAAAATCACAGGGTTAAGCTTTGGGTTTATGGGCTGGGGTTAGCTCCAAAGTGCGAGGAAAGCGCCATCGCATTCTTTGCGTAGTACTCCAGGTGGTTCTTGGCAGCGATTCAGTTCAGCTACAGAGCGGGGAGCGAAAGGCTACAAAAACGGGACACGAGACCAAGCTTGGAAAAGGGGCCTCGCTTTCCTAGATGAGGTCCTTGACTGCCGCGCTCTAGAGTTGGTTCTGGTTCCAGAGACTAAGAGTGAGGTACTGTGCCCGCAACGGGGAGGCGGCATCAGGATGTCGGCCAGTGCAGATTCCTCCTAAACGTTTCTTGGTTCTTGCTTCTATAATCTCCCTTACAGGAAAACTGTTTCCCGGCTTGAGGAGCAAGTTCAAAGAAGCCTTCCAAGAATTGCGCACTTTTCTGAACCGCAGCCTGTCGAAACTTCCTGAAATTTCGGAAGATGTGGACGTGCATTTCTATTTCGAATCTGGTCAGAATCGTGGCCCTTGCGCGCACCTTGTTCAACCCCGGGCTGATCTTCTTGTCGAGGTACCGGATCCGGTCCACAAACAGCCGCTTCTCCTCGCCGTTGAGCATGCCCAGAATCTGCCAACGTCAACAACAAAGCGGCTCAGCCGTTGAGCAAACGTCGATAGAAAAGCAGCTCACCCGTCTCCTTTTTAGATGGAAACAACAAAGGCACGAGGGAGGATATGGGGATGGCTCTTTGACTGTTTTTGGCGGGGTTTGATTAGCAGTTATCCCTCCGTGCTGTTTGTAACACCTCTGGGCGCCTCTGTAGCACCTTTCTCCGAGCTTGCAATCTCTGTTCTGATCGAAATTCCCAACAAATCACCTGCTGTACAAAGGACGATAGCTGCCACGATGTTAAGCCAGTTTGCGTCTCGCTAATCTGTGCCGCTCACCTTGTTGTAGTCGCGCACGACGAGCAGCACGTTCTCGCGCAGCACGCGGTACTTCTCGCGCTGCCCCGCGATCTCCATGGCCACGTACGGGATCTCCAGCCCCAACCGCTCCCAGTAATGCACCTTCAGATACAGAACGGCGCTTACTTTTGAGCCACGCTTGACTTGATCAATCATCATGAAGCATCGTCCTCCTTGGGTAAGAGTGATAAAAGGGTTTAAGACGGCAATCAGAGACTCGCAGGAACAATCAGAAACACATAAGAGAGCTGATTGACGTCGAGCTTGACCCTTGATTACATTTGAAGCTGTGCAATCCGCCCCACAGGAGCTCCGGACCTGACACATGCGGGGATGCAATAGAATTGAATCTTCAACTTCGTGACAAACTCTGAGGTTCAAGAATCATCTGAAACTCATACAGAAGTAAAGTTCCAAGCTCGAGCGCGGCCGCACCTCGTGGAAGAGGTTGAGCAGCGTCCGGTCGAAGTTGACGACGAGGCCCCCGTCCGCGGCGTCCTGCACGATCAGCGTGTTCTCCAGCCGCTTCGGCACCTCGGGGCCCACCTGGTTGAACCACTCCAGGTGCTGGTTCTTGATGAACTGCGCACGGGAACGATGGCGTCAGAAACAGGGCCTTCCGGAGACGTATGTCAGATGCTGAATTGGCAGGGTTCAGGGTCTCTGAGGTAATTTGTTTCAGCAGTCCGCAACGCATTGTAGGTACTGATATTGGATGCGACGCAGAAACGAGCGACGAGGTCCACATTAGCGGGACCCTTTTGAATATTCAGCCACGCTTCTGACGCCCGATCCTAAGCACTAGATCTGGATCTCCGCATGCAAGTTTTGAGGAGATAGGGCGAAAAAAGAAATATTAAGAGGTGTCCAACGAGTACATACTCGTCTTAAATGCATTTAACCGGCGACCATTTACCGAACCGCACCTGCTCGATGGCCGCCACGACCTGGCCTTGCTGGGTCTGGAGCTCCGCGAGCTCGGGCGCGCGCGCGAGCAGGGGCGCAATCTCGTTCAAGTGCGCCATCGGGCGCGCGATTCGCCGCTGGAGGCCGAGCGCCCACATGGCCGCGCCCGCGTAGCGCGGCAGGGTTTTGTCGACGGGAGGTTTGCGGCGGAGCTGGTCGAACTGCTTCTTCACGAGGGACAGCTCGGAAAGAAAGGCAGTGTACACCTGGCGAAGCAACATATTCAGAACGTCAGACTATGCGGCTGACTGAAGATGTCGGAGTCGGAGCAAGTCCTGATAACTGGCAACTTTTCGAAGAACGAGGAGAATGTACAGCAGCCGATCCTTGTCAAAGCGCCTTCTCTTCTACGGAGTTGTATCACAAGAAAAACGATTCTCTCGCTCGGCCAAAAAACTTCAGTCGCAGCTTCTCCCGCGCCATATCTGATACGACTTCCAGGAGTCCAACTCGTTGCCGCTCCTGGCAAGATTTCAAACCCCGAAACTCTTCGAGCGCCGCGCGCGCCTCACCTCGCTCGTCTTGCGCTCCACGCACTTGACGATCGCGTCGCGCTTCGCCAGGGTTTGGAACGCGTCGAGCGCCTCCGCGGCCGCGCCCAGCGACCCCGCGCTCTCGAACGCGAGGTTTATCACGTTTTGCATCAACACCTCCAAGTCCTTGACGGCGCCCTTGAAAGCGTTGAAGTCGTCGTGCCAGCGCGTCACTTTGACGTCCAGGATGTTGTAATCCAGGCCTCGTAGGTTGGCAATCAGCTTCTGGAACGCGGCCTGAAAGCGGGGAGTTGCGTGGAAATTGGATTTACAGGGCCTTCGGATACTGGTTCGCGACAGAGTAGGTGCAGTTGTTTGGTGCTGGGTGTTGTGAACGGCAAACGCGAAGTGCAGCTACTTTGTAGGACGAAGTCCAAGCTCCTTATGTTAGTGCTTAAGTAGTGCTTCCGCGCCCATCGCTTTCGTCAAAGCCGTTGCGAGGATTGCCGCAATTCGGCTAACAATCAGAAAGTCAAAATGGTTCGCATGCATACCCTTTCGAGATCGACCAGCAGGAGCATATCGAAAACATGTTCATCCCGCAAGCATTCCTGGCAGTCGCACGTTAGGGGGCGAAAGGAACCTCCACATGATTCAAGGCCTCCAGAATCTCAACATGTCTGAACCACTTACATACGCGGAGCCCGAGTTTCAGCTGGTAAACCATGCCACTAAGTAAATCAATTGTCAAAATGCCGCGAGACTTGAAAACCCCCACCTGGATGTCGACGAGGCTCTTGCTGATCTCGGGCCCGCGCGTGCCGCCGAACGCGGGCATCTCCACCCGCCCCGCAAACTGCGCCTGCGCGTCGCACACCTCCAACAGGTCGCGGCACCGCTGCATAAACGCGTCCACGTGCGCAAAGATTCCGCTCGTCTCGAAGTCCCACGGCTGGAGCGCCGCGGCCGCGGCCGCGCCGTTCGGCGACGGCGCGCCGAAACCCGCCATGGAGATTGTCGACTTCGGCGTCCCAGCAATCGGCGCGCGCGCGGCTAGGGATGGCCCCGCGCGGGCGGTCGCGACGGCGGCCGCGATCAGGGTTTGGGTGGTTTGGAAGGCGCGCTTCCAGGCTTCGCCGGCCGCGATGCTTTCCTGGAGCGCGGCGCGGCACGTGTCGACGCCGCCGTCGAAGAGGGTTTTGAGGGAAATGGTGAAGCAGCAGCGTGCGATGATCTCGTTGCTGACCTGCAGCGAAGAAAAGGTGTCTAGTTGCTTCGGAGTCCTCAATAAAAAGAGAGGAAACGTGACCCGTGCGCGCCCATTTGCGAACAAGCCAAGTCTCGGGAATAGACGCTTCGATCAGACCGATCCGCACCGTCAATCCTCGTTTCAAAGCCGGGAGGGTTCAATCCGCGTTTCCCGTCCATCCTTCTTGTTAACCATAGTTATCTTAAGGAGATTAGACAATGTTCAGGACGGGGACTAACACATAACGTGTTTCTAGTCGGTGATCAAGAGTTTCAGCAAGCTTCTACTACGGATTTGCGGATCCTCTTTGAAACTCGAGGCCTTGTCTGAAGGGCACGAACACTTTTTTGATGCCCGTCATTAGTCCTTATCGTCCTGTCTTCTTTTTGCTCATCCAGAATTTCCGGCAAAAGCAGAACTTCTCCGCTGCACACCCCTCACCTTGCGCAGCAGTCCCATGACCTTCTCCGGGGTATTGTAGAACCGGCTGACGTTCCAGATCATTCTGATTGTGTTCAGCAACCGGGGCATGAGGGCGGGGATGTCCCGGGGGGCCGCTTTCGCAAGCAGCTTGCACGGCTCTTCCAGGCACTGGAGAAACTTGAGGTTGTCTTCGGCCGCAATCGCTTCTCGTTGGATCAGCGCGGACAGGTTGAGATAGGGGCCTAGATAGCTGCTCTTTGCTTGCTCGAGGATGCCCACGATCGAGAGAACGCCCTGCAAAAAGTGTGAGAGTTCTGAGGGTATGAGAAAGTGAGAGGTTGGGATTTAGAGAGTTTTTAGGCTCAAGGATTTGAGCACGGGCCTAGATTAGTTGCTTCGAGCTTGCTTAAGGATGCCCACAACTGAGAGATTGCCCTGCGGAGGTTTGGATATCAAACGTCAGGGCATGGCGGGTCAGGGGAGTAATCAGGTTCAAGGGCTAGGATTTCATGGGCGTTGGAGGGGTGGGGAATTGATGTGAAAGGAGCTAAGGTGTTTCCGGGGACTGACTCAGTGTAGGGGATTTCTTAACATCGACATCAGGGGTACGGTCTCAGACAGGTGCTCCTAGAGAATGCCCTACGAGTTTAAAATGAGCACAACAGTCAGAGATCAGGCGCGACACTCCCTTGGGTTGATGGAATCGAGCCACCATTTACAAGGCTTGAAAACGAGGGTCTGTCAGGAAGCACAACGAGAGACATACTTACAACAACGTCTGATGGTGGATTGATCCCGAACGATGGAAATGTCCGCGAGTGATTCCACCTGCCTTCCGAAGAGCTGCCTGCAACATGGGCTGCTCTCATGCCCTGGTGTTCGTCCAGCAAGCAGCTAAAAAACACAGTCAAGAGTAAACTTCACGAGTTAAGAAGATCCTTAACGCTGAAACCCCTGCAAATTAGAAGGCATCACGCAACCGGGTACTCACCTTCTGGTCCAGCTGTGCACGGATTCCGCTGAGGTCTATGCTGCGGCTGCGCCAGAACTCGATCTCTGCGAGCGGCCCCGCGTCCTCCCCAATCTCGGAATTGTCCTGGTTGTTTACCACCTGTTCAAAAAGGATTCCCATCCAGGTTCACAATCCGCCCTTCTGAACGGCAGCACCCTCGATTGGTCGAACGTGCATGCTTTAAAAATCTTGAAAAGGCTTGCTGCTGCTTCTCCGCATCCGTACTCGATAAAGACACCACATGCCTGGTGCAAAGCCCACTCACAATGCCAGTTTCGGACCGCCTGTGATTGTCCTATCCGAGAGGCTGTCATGAAGCTTTCACGTGAGCGCACAGTCCCACAAAGCCTGCGCTATAGAGAAGAAACTAGAGCGGACAGAAGAGGGGCCCGCCCACCTCTTTGATCTGGCGCGTCCAGTGGATCAGTGTCGACTCTAGTTGCTGGACGAGGTCCTTGTCCTTAGCGTCCGCGTCGGTGTACTCCTGTCCGGGACCCGGGAGCTTGCCCCGGGTGGGGATGTACAACACGGTCTTGCCCTTGGCCTGCAAAACGAAGGTACGGGGGAGAGGGTGGTTGGAAGCTTGTTATACCGCGCTGCCACTTGTTACATCTTTGGAAAGGCGATATCCTTCTATCGTGCAGTAATTACACCGGGATCTGGGTTCTCCAAAAATCACAATTCAAAAAGGGTGATCAGTCCTGAACCTTCCACACAACCACATGAGACTACTGTAGGTTCTCTGCATTTTCTGAAAGGTGCTCTGCGCGCTGTTTAAGCAAGAAGGGGGTTGGCGCAAGCCCAGCGCTTGCCGAGAAAGCTGCTAACTAGGCTTGTTGGGGAGAGTCAAACGGAGGACGAAAGGGCATTGTGAAAATCCCGACTCGCCAATGAAAAGCTCAGCATTCCTGATCGTTTTGTTGGTGGTTTCATAAGCGGGCATATGCAGTGCTCCTGCTTTGTCAATCCGTCTGCAACTACCCGCTGTAATCACTGCCCTGCATTCAGTATGCATCTCTGATTGTGCAGAGTTTAGCATACAAACAGTGCCATGCCAGCGGAAAGCATGCGCTGCTTGAATCTAATGATCTTCCATATGCATCAGCATGGGCGGTAGCGAGCATCTACCTGGAAGTGGGCGTCGGTCAGGGTGGCCATGAACTTGTGTAGCTGGCTGGAGAACTCCTTCATGAGACTGTCGGGCCAGCTCTTGTTCCCCAGCAGATTGGGCACATACAAGCTCTGCAAATAAATACGATGGGTGCAGAAAGTCTGAGCCCCTTGCCTGGCTCCATCACAGTTGTTTGGGTCTTTAGAAGTCAAATGCTCGATCAAAGTAACACAATGCCATGGCGCCATGCACAATTGTTGCTTTCCAAGGTACAGTCAATATAGTTCAGCAAAGCATTTCTGATGTTTGGGGTGGTCAAGCCAGCAACTGTGTGCTCATGCGTGCGCACAAGCTGAGCGTCACAGCCGGCGCCAAGGCACAACCTACAGTTCGGCCCCCGCACCTGCATTGCGCTCAGAAGCGACTCCATCGGGTCCCCCCTGATGACCCCACACTGCACAAGCGCGTCCAGCTTCTCATGCGCCACCTCGCCCGCGCCTTCCCGTACCAAATACAGCATCTCTGAAAATGCACCAGGTGGCTCCAGCTGGCACCGCAAAGCGCCTTGTCCATCAACAAATGCGAAGAACCTTCCCGAGCTTCTTATGAGCTCATCAACCACCGGGCCGTGCTCCTCGTCGCGCCACAGCGCCTCTGCTGAGATCAGCGCGAGTTTCTTCCGGACCCAGAAGCGGCACCGGACGTCCGCGAGTGTGGCGTCCGAGCTGGGGTGGCGGCTGGACCGCCGCTTTGCAGTGCCGTCCGAGGCTTCTGACATGCGGGCCTGGCCTGGGGTCACCAGAATGACGACCATTTTGCTGACTCTCGAAGGTGAATATTGGAGCTGAAGGAAATAAATCTGTTAAGGGCGATCAGAGCACTGTTGACGGCATACTGTGCAGCTGAGCAATCACTAGGAATTTCCCTAGGTTTGCCAGCTGGCAGCGACTCTAAGGTTGTTCTCCTGGACTTAACATCAGACTCCAACTTCAAGCTTCCACAGAAATGAGCTCTCAAGCTGAGCTCCGTACTTGGCCACCATGAAACCTAGCGCCTGGACTCTGCTGCCCAGCCTTGCTTGCCTAGGCTTTCTGGCACACAATTGTGCTCAGGACTGCGGTTCGTGGTCACGTGAAACGTAAAGGTCGGCGGGCATTCCTGCACAGGCGTGAGCCTGCACATCGGTCTTTGAGCAGGCCGGTGCATCATCCGATTTTGGCACCATGCACTAACTTCCAGTATCAGTGCGCTTCCTGAGGCTGTAGCATACCTAAGGCTATATAGCAAAATGCACATAATGCATGATCTAAGCGGGGGTCCACTAGCTAGCATTCATCGCGCGCGCTGATACATTCGGAGGTGCTTGAAACCGTCCGATATCAGCTCTATGTCGATCCAACGACTGAGGGCACGCTTCAGCTTGCGGCAAATCGGTGACTCGTCGACGAAGAACGCAGCTTGTGTAGTTGCTTGGATGCTGCATGGGGGCGGTCAATTCTCGAATCCGTGAAGAATCGATACAGCAAAATTAGGGACTCGAGCATAAGACAATGAGTTCCTTGTCTCTCTTACAATGAGTTCCTTGTCTCTGAGGTCTACGGCAAAGTTACAGCAAGTCTGGCCAGCTGGGCGGTGAGGCTTCAATATGAACTCGTAGTCCAGCTACTAGATATTGCATGAAGCGGACACTCATCGTGTCAATGCTGTTAGCAGCAAGCTGTTGGCGGATCAAAAAGTTGTGAGAATTGCTGGTGCGCTGCAACCTGATTCCTCGCCCATTCCTCGCAGGCTTTACCGGTATATAACAGTGGGCGTTCCTGCTCATAATCCAATGAGGAACATCACCCCATCTGGTTGGTTCGTCGTATAAGGATAAAGCGGGAAGATGTTCAAGCACCACTTTTGCTTTCGTGAATGGGACGAAGCTCAACTGTAGGGTATACTCTATAATTCCAAAAGGGCAGCTGGTTGAATCAGTAGCTTGCCCGTTGTAACTCCGGTTGACTTGGACCACAGCTCTACGATCGTAGTTCGTGGCCGAATTGTGTTACAATGGCCCGTCAAAGTCCCAGTATCCCATCACATGGGAAGGAGCTTGAGAATCGAAGAAGTTGTAGCTCTCATGAGCGGCGCCAGGCTAGCAGCTTTGTATTTCCTCCACAACTGTGGAGAAAAATCCCCCTCCACGAGCCGCTCACTTGTTTCAAGGTACGTTCAAAATCTGTCGCTTTCCTTTTCGATTGCAACAGCACCTCTGAGAAGCATTCTTTTGGCTTCTATTTCTTCTCCTTCGAATGGATTCATATGTAGTGGAAAGCTGCATTGCATCTGATCAGCTCCAGTTGCAGATCACCGAGTCAGCTCCTTGTCAGATACACGTCTGAGTCCTACGGATCCTCGTGTGCTCATGAAATTTGGCTTCTTTCATCACGGCGTTTCAGAATGGTCCTACTTTGCCTGCCCGCCAGACAAAAGCAGACGTCATCGTTGACATCATTTCAAGGTCCATCTTAGCTCGACACTAAATCGAAAAACACTCAGTTTTGGTCAACAATCTAATGAGCTGCCAAAAGGCGGACCCGTCCATTTGCTAATCCGCCCACGAATATAAGTTTGACCGTTGATCCATTCCGATGTCTTATCAGGTAGTAGCGGCCATTGATGGGAAGCTTGTCTCCATTTTCGACGGAGAAACGGAGTACCGGCTGGGCTGCAAGGTGCTCGCCAGGCGAGGTACCCCGGGGAAGGTCCCCATGGACTGCTGCTTCTTTTCGTGGGCGACTGAGCGGGAGGTCGGTACCCATCCCTGGGCGTTCAGTACGTTCGACGTTGTGCGCTAAAATGATCTTCGAAATGTTTTGTTTGCATCTCAATGGTCGCCGTACCGAAGCAGTTCCGTGTCGCCGATCTGCTGGACATGGCAACATCTCATGTCAAGCCAATACTCCGTACTTCGAGCACTTGTGCGACTTGGATCGTTCATGCATACCTATGGATTTCCACCTGTGACATCAAAGCTTTGCAGTGAGTATAGCACGAGTACTTCGACACGTGCGGATAGGGGTCTCTTCTTGGATGCATAATGTTGATCAGTAAAACAAGGTGTCTATTTACAACTCGACGTGTCCATTTGCAGGCGAAGGTGGCCGTGTTTCCCGCCAGCAGCAAGCTTCTTCACGCTCCTCGGGTGCTTATTGCGTTGAGAGCAACCGCTTGTACATACGTTGACAAAAAGAACCCCCATAAGCTGGCGCACGAAGAAGTGTATGTTGAGAGAATTGTCGCTTTCCGAACAGCAAACGTATGGCACACGTGCTAGATGGCTTCGATCTGGGTATAGCTCAGTCATGCGCACGCAATTATCCGAATTTGAGGTTAATTCTGCTTCCCAGAATTGAGAGTCCCTGGATTGCATGGCTGGAAGCTCACCGGGCAACCTTTATCGGGAAGGAATTCAGCTTTTACGGTCGCCACGCTTGACTCTTGACATCATATTCATTAAACGCGGCTCAGTCTTTTGCTTGTTGTACAGACAAGTCGACAATTAGTTGCAGGGCGGGTCTTTAGTAAGCTCCATGCAAAGCGGGACTTGTCCTCTATACAGCTGGACAATCAGTAATCAGAAACATCCGAAGGATCCTGTACATATCAAAATACAATGCACGTCTAAAGCTAGACCCACGCGCTTGCATGGACCATGCAGACTGCTCCATTCTCCGTCGTTTGCATAAGCTCACTGAGGCAACGCGCAGTAGCTGCATCATCGCCAATTCTGGCTAGCTCCTTGCGGACGATCATTTGGATATGATCGACAGCCATCCATGATCTGGCCATCGTTGGTGGCAGCTAGCGAGCCTGACCCAAGTGCACATCGGAAAACGCGCGCCACGAGCTATACACATGGTTGAACTTACATGCAATGTTGGTATGCATGACCAGCTCTCTAGATGTATATTAAACATGCATGCGTACGCTTATGCATGTACTAGTATCACGCACGCGCACATGCACGTTCGATCTCCATCATCGATGTGTAATGATGCACATGCAACAGAGTGCGTGCAAGCAAGCTCTGATCTTGAGTTGATTTTGTGCAAGCGCATTGTGAAAATTGAGGCCGCCGTCGCGATTGACCATGGAATGCAGTAGGCTATTTCACCAACGCCGAGCTGATTCCCACGGACGTTTACCTGCTGTGCAAGATGCACAGCCCGCTTCAATGGCGCAAGAAAGCCAGGCCTACTTGGACAGTGCCCGCCCAACAAAGGGGTTTTTGATCATCGTTGAAGGACAACCCTGCTTGTTTCGCATGCACATGCAATATCTAGATGTGCTCTCTGGCAGCGATATAAGCCTATTCTTCCCCTCTATGCGAAGTTGGTTCTTCGACAAATAGTCAATGGTTCTATAAGAATCCGCTCTTGCCCCCAACTGCCTTCATGATAGGCAACATCTCTTTGCAAAGTAACGAGGGGCCTGCCAACCTCTGCCGCGATCCTGTCACTGGATTCCGAAAGTACGTTTTAAGGTAAATCGTACTAAAAAAGAAACTCAATCAAATGCGGCCAACACAATACCCTACAAACTATCACCCGGCCTATCTCGATTCCCTACATTAGTTGACCTACTGCCTTCTCAATGGCCCCAGTCCACCAGTTGACGTCCCCAACATAAAGCCTTTCAGATCGGTGCGCCGCGTCCATAAACATTGGACATATCACGCCAATGCAATCCCAACAATCTATGCCGAGGCAGCCACCGCCGGTGTTTCTTGTGTCTCCGGCTTCCGGCAAAGCAATAGGTGCATGGGGGTGAAGACCCCTGTCTCGCCTCCCTCCACCAGGGAGATTGCCGTCTTGTAGAGCATCTCATGGACCTCGGTCGTGCCGGCGGGAGCCAGCCCAAGGAAGGACAGTATGCTCACAATCACGTGGTTCCTGCACGACGTACGGTCGAGTCAGCCGGAGATATAGAGGAAAGAGACTCTCTGCTCAGTCACACGTGAAAGATAATCTAAAGTCCAAGGGTTTCTAAGGAAAGGAGAAGAGCGCATTGTCTGGATGCTCTCAAGTACCGGACAGACCCTAGACTGTTGCTTTCGAATGGCAGTCTTATGATTCAGACTGCCACAACGACCGTACCTACCAATTCCTGGAGCAGTCTCGACTTTGCAATCGAATCTACGACAGGCAGGTTTCGATACAAGCCCCATCAGCCCGAGCAGACAAGTAACCATGTGGAAGGGAAGTGGAGTCCAGAGGGAGACATCCAACACCATTCCCCCTATGCAGCCGCAGTGTCTTCAGCAGATATATACCAAAACAAGCCCAGAAGCTTCTAGACAGCGAAGTCTGCCGAGGGCCGACTTTCACAAAAACATTTCCGCTCAAAACTCAGCAACAGCAGCTCCAGCGGCGGCCCTACTGTCGTCCGCACCTGTAGTATGCGAGGCGCCCCATCTTGAGCCGCTTCCACCACGGCCCCGCGGGGGGCAGGGCAAGGTCCCTCTCTTCCACCACCTCGAAGCCGACCTCCTTCGCAGCATCCACGATCTCCAGGTACGTGCGCATCTCGGGAAGCGCGTCGCCGTAGCAGATCGCGTCCACGATGCGCACGTGCTCGGGGTTCAGCTTGTCGTACTTGGGGGTCTTGACCCACTCGTATGAGACGTAGAGGCCACCAGGCTTGAGCATCCTGCAGGGGGAAAGATAACGTCAGCACGAGCAAAGAAGAGCGCCATTGAGAGGAAAGAGTCTTGAAGAAGTATACTCCCACTTATTCCGCGTCTTGCAGGAGCACAACTTGGAACGGGGACATCAGCATCGGAACAAAAGAACATAGATTGGTGTCGAAAAAGGACGTCAGCGCTCCCATCGAAGCCTGTGACAAGAACAGCGTTCCAACCTTTAGTATCCTGTGTAACAGGGGAAGATTTGCAGGAGCAGATGAGCTTTAGGAGTACATAAGATGGATAGCTTTTGTAAAGCTAGCGAGCGCCACCATGAGGGGGTCTGGTTAAGGAAGCGGACTGAAACCTTGGTCAGGCTGGGAGTCTTTGATGAGTAATAGACACAGATTTTGCGAGGACAAGCTGGTCATTGATTGGCCAAAGGGTCACCGGACAGAGTCCACAGACTTTATACTGAGTATGGATCAAACAATAACTTCGGGTGACTCTGGAGAAACAATACTGTCAAGTGTGGTTTCAGAGAAGCCATGTGTGCCTGGTTACCAATCTCAGTGACATGCTTGGGACCAACAGCCATAACCATCTTCGAGGCCTGTACATTATGCCTCAACACTGAGTCCAAGCTCGAGCAGTTTATGATATGTACAGCGGGCCAGTGATGGGTAACCGAATCGCAGTTTTGCTGCTTACATCAAGATAAGCCGAGCGCTGTTGCTAGGACCATATGAGAGCCAATCTCAACACCTCAGATTCCAGGAATCAAAATAATCAAATTGTGACCAGCCACATGCTGGAGCTTGAACAACAATGAGCTGCCTGATTCACTCCTGGCACCTTACCCGAAGATCTCCTTGTACACGTCGGTCAGCTTTGGGGCGTGGCAGGTGGCCTCGCACGAATAGGCGGCGTCAAAGCTCTCCTTCTCGAACGGCATGTGCAGGAAATTCCCCTGAACCACTGTGCACAGGTCCTTGAGCCCCGCCTTTTCGTTGTGGTGCAGCGCCCGCTTAACCTGCAGTCAGTTGGCAATTGACGGTTGGCCTGATTCTAGCAATCGAAAGCTTGGCCAATGCACACAGGACTTGATTTGAGGGGCCGCGCCACTGGGATTGCTTGGCCACAGTTCTCCAGGGGGCAGGTCGTAGACCCCCTGGCCGGCAGAAATACTCCTTGGTCCCTGCTTGCAACGCAAGAAAGCGGAAAAGCTGGTTGAAGTGCACTGCGTTTCCAGGTGACATCGAACACCCTCCCAGAAGGTGCATTATTTTACCAGGTGACAAGCAACCACCCAATTGTGCTCCAGCGTGTCAGGATCGATCCAATTGGTTGATGCTGCCAACGGTGACAAGGTAGATTCAGGAAGGTTGTGGCTACTGTTGAACATGGTGAAAAGGGGCCTCTTTGAATACAGAATGTAGCAGCAAGACTACCAGCCAGCAATCGCCTGTTCAAAAATTCCTAGGTCGCAATTGATGGTCCGGAACAATGTCCTCTAAGTGCAAGACAGTTTAGTGCCTCAGATCTGAGACCATCCACCAGTGAAGCGAAGTGCATTAGGGTTCTGTTGAAAAAGTGGGGCCCCAGCTCAACCAAATGATTGAAAGGTACCGCAGGGCTCATCTTGATTGCAATTAAGGCCCGAACAAAAGGTCCGGGCAGAAGCAACACATTGCATAGATACTACCTCTCAGAAGTGCCTTGACATGATTTTAGGCCAACCAGAACCCACGCAAAGCAACCCGCAGAGTTTGGCATCAGAAGGCGTGTCCTTGGCGCACTGTATTCACCTGATAGTCATTGATTGTGATCCCTGTGACGTGCGCCTGAGAGTAGGATGCAACGGCACGCATCGGACCTCCCACCCCGCACCCAACATCCAACACCTTCTGGCCTGGCTTGAGCTCCAGCAGATCAGCAATCATGGTCTCATGAGCACGAGTGGCATCTTTATGGCTCTTCCCCGGAATGGCTGGAGAGAAGTGGAAGCTCTGGCCCCAGCCCCACTCGTAAATATCTGTCAGATGCAGGACTTGAGTAGGATCAGTGTCTGTCTACTTATCCAGACAGAGTCACTTGCCTTCTAATTTTCCAGACCACAAGGCCGTCTTTGCTCCAAAAGCAATGAGCCAGGCCAACCACCAATCAACGCCAGACTTCTTGACTGACTAAGACTTGCATCATGACAAATGCAAGCGCCTTCTAACATAGCTGGCAGACGGAAGAGCATTGCCATGCTGATGCCAACCAAGCGGAGCAATCTTAGAGATTGTGTGTAATACTCGCAGACTTGCACCAGCCATTGCCTCCTCTCCACATCAGATCTCAAAAACAATCAAAACTGGTATGCCTATGCTATCTGAAACTCAGATCCATCCTAATTCGCTCTTTGCACATCAACAGGACGGTAAACACGAACAATTACCTACCTGTCACAAGGTTGTAGAAGGTATCAACCAGCTTTGGCGCCTTCTGCTTCTCGTCCACACCCTCGCCTGCATTCTGCTGGAAATACTTGTCGTACTCCTCCCAGTGCTCCTTCACCTCATCTTCCCTTAGGGACGTCCCCTTCAAAAGCTCAGTTGCAGCCTTCCCTTTAACCTCTGCCTGCCCGAATGTGAGCGCAAAACCAGTGGCAGCAACAATGCCCGTGGCAGCCACAATACCAAACAGCGTACCAGAGCTAGTGGTCGAAAGGTTGTCCAGGACCGAGGCCAGGGTGTTTGACAGAGGGGTGTTGTCGCCCCCCATGGCCGCACCTCCTCTCTCAAGATGAAAATCTTCCCTGATCTGCCACCGGCTCTCTCTGAGCTTCCAAAGCTACACAGATCTGATCCGAAACAGCTTTCGATCTGTCAGCTGGCGGATCTGGATTGGAACAGCCTGCACCAATCTAAAATCTTCAATCAAAGCTCCTCAGCGCAACGATGCGTACACTGGAAAACCTGTCTTTCTAGGAGCGCAAAGCAATGTCCTCAGCTCTGACAAGCCCAGAGCTGCTGCCTGCCAGAGGCGCCCTCTTCACCTGATCCGCTTTCCCTGATATTTTCTTTGCACCGCCTCTGACAGAGGGATCTTGCTGTTGCTCTTGCAGATACCAAGTCGTATGGGCTACCGGGAGGAGCCAGTTCAACAATTTGCCCCGCTTTCTTAAGCCGGGCGCAATATGGGAAAATCCCCCCTCCATTGCAGCCGGTTCGAGGTGGTTCGGGACCGGTGCAAATCGAAAAGCGGTTGGGATTAAGCCGTTTGAGGTACCGCCTGCATCCTTCTCACGTGTCATGTACATGTGCGCAATCATTACTGGAGGAAACCAACTTATGCATTTACTGCAGCATGTTCAAGCAGCATGGTGCTCGCTGCAAATGTGATTACTCAAGCACGCCTTGTCCATTCAACAAAGTCACCAGTTTGCATCATTGAAGCATTGGCAAACACTTGGTACCACCGTTGTAGTCTGTATATCATCAGCTACGTTGCCTACCAATGGCAATGAAGACTTTACGATGTGGTTCGACATATATACATAAGAGTTATGGAGCCAAGTAGCCCTAAACTGGTAGCTTGCGCAATGATCTGTATGAAACCGCAGTTTTCAGTCGTCCCATTCATCATCTTCTTCGTCGCTCTCTATAGACTTTCTCGTACTCCTTTGAGCGACGAGCGCCGCAAGAGCTGGGGTCTGCAAGAAAAGAGAAACTACAAATTCACAATCCCATTTTGCCGTTCAAGCATTCGTCTTGTGAGGCTTAAGAGGGTCGATGTGCAGAACCGACCACTTTCGATGCACACTCGAGAACTATGAAAATGCCAATGCCAAGACAACAAGGCGGGAATCGAGCACACCAACATCGCAGACCATGTGCGATTCCGCAAGTCCTTACCTTCACAGGTAGCGGTTGCCTGCACAAAGGGACGTCAAAGTTCAAAAGAATTCACACAAAGCTTGATGTTTGATGCTTGGGGTTTGGAATTTGATTGTACTCAAAGTGAACTTCGATCACAGCGGAGGACAAACAACTTCAGTCAACAGTATTCCATGAGCAAATCTAGCCGCCCTTCTGTACACTTCACCCGTGCATCTTGAGTTTGCTTTTTCTGGAGCGATGTACGTGGAAGATTGTTGTCCCACCATGTCACCCCGTCGATAAAGAGAACCACCTTACATTTTCTGCCGTCGAAGGGACGACACACGAGCAAAGATCACGCTACAACTCACGGTGAGGGTTCCACATGGCGAGGCGGACTCGCAAATCGAACGGCTGTCTCCGTTGCACCTCTCTCCACCTGCAGCGAAGTAAGTAAGCTTTATCATGAAGCAGAAAGGGGTCAAGAAACTTTCCATGGGCACTCAAGTTCGAAGAAGGCGAGACCTTTACTGGGTTCACGATCGCGTATCCCGTTGGCAGATTCAGCTCGACGGCTTTACAATCAAGTCAAACGAGCTCCAAACATAACGATTTCAATTGCGTCCAGGCTATGGCACTCATCAGAACACCTCCAGATCGTTCACTCTGGATCTCCGAACCCTTTCGCACGCCCTGTGCAACCCCTGATCAGTCTCGCACTGTGACCAGCTTGCGTTCTCCTCTTTCGGGCCTCTTATCTGCACATAGCGTATCAAGATCGGGCGACCTCTCACCTCTTTACCAGCGCTTTGCAGGCCGCCCTTCATGGACAGCCGCCGGCTCATCAAGTGGCTGGCCATCTCCGCAAACATATCCCCCTGCACGCAGCCCACGTGGTTTCAGTGCAGTTTCGAAACGCTCTGACGTCAGCTATGCACCACTGCTCGATCAATGCAATCGCCAATGCAAACTGCGTGTGCCAACAGTCTTCTGATCCAAGTCTGACTGAAGTTAAAACTTGTAACGGCCAGTCCGACCTGCGTCTGCTGCCCAGATTATTATGCGTGATGGTCGAAATCTGCCTGAGAAACAAGGAACCTAATTGGCGAGGGCTTACCATCGGAGGCGGCGAGCTCGCGCTACGCCCTCGAGTGCCTGCTCCTTCACTTCCAGGTGCATCCTGCAACGATCGCCGGGACTCACGAATTGACTTAAGCATGCCCGATTCTTTTAAGAGCCTCTTTAGAACTACAGCGCTAGATATAGCGGTAGAGAGCAGCTGCTTCTAGGATGCAACCGACCTCTTCGAGGTCTAAGTCACGAGAATTGAGAACGGGGCCCAAGCCCCTCATATCTGCCGAGAGTGACTCGTGCGCCAACTCGTGCACGTGAGGGATCGAACGTTGGCCGCATGTCCACTTTAAACACCTTGGCAGTCTACTTTAGTTTCTAATCCCCCAGGTTACCGGCCTACTTCTGCTAGTACCGAAACCGGCTGTGCTGTTCTTCGGTCGGCACCAATATGGCGCGAAACAGGGACACAGGAGCTCACTTTCAGTGCGGCCATCATCTCCCTGCGGGGGCTGGGTGTACGGGATCGGTCGTCGGAAACCTGTACAAAGATTGCCGGCCTTCTCAATTCGTCCGTAATTGCCGGTGACTGACCACAACTGAAAGAGCGGCTTGATTACGATCATGAGGCTCGGTATCTAGTCTTTCCCTTTGAACGGCGTGAGTGTTGGGAAGCGCCTCACGGAAGGGTGTAAGATTAGATCAGGATCTTCACAGTAACTTGGACGTGGCTGCCTGCCAGGGACAGTCTCACCTTCCGTAACCGGACGCCGGGGCTCCGGATGGACGCCAGCAGCGCTTGTCGGGCGGAATCGCCAGCTGCCAAAGGCGCACAGCAAAAATAGGAGTGACTTAACGATAATATTCACGCTCGAAAATCTACAAAATTTAAATTCACAGCGCCACCCCAAGAACCAGAACAGAAGTACTTGTCCGCATGGAAAAAGCATGGAACCTCGGCGTGAGAGTACGTGCACATACTTGGTGCTTCCCTGACGGGAGACGAAAGATTTACACAGTCCGCTTACCGATGGCTGGAACTGGGGGCGAGGGTTCCCCTTTCGGCGGCGGCGGGGGCGGCGGGGGTGGCGCGGGAGGCGGCGACAGAGACCTCTGACTACCGGACGCGGCATCTCTACCGAGTCCTGGAGCCCGGCCTGTCGTTTCCGTTGTTGCGCCCGGGGGTGGACTAGAGGCAGCGGCAACGGAAGGGGGGTCGTTGGGCAGGGGCGGCGCCGCCGGGGAAGGGGTTGGCCGGGTGCGCTCACTGGAGGACGACGAGGCTGACGTCGGGCTGACGTCAGAGTGTGGAGTTTGTACAGGAGGGTGAGGGTTGGGAGGAGTGGCGCGGTCGCTTGTGGAGGGAGGTGGGGAGGGGGCGGAGGAGGGCGGTGGTTCAGAACCTGTGCAAACCGGCAACAGATGAGAACGACGGGAGCAAGATCCAAGGCTCAACTGGCTATGATACTAGCACAGGCCAACATGATTCACTTGCACCGATCCTACGCAAAGAGGGTTGCAGATACACTCCAAACAAGAAGAACGATGTGTATCTACGTCGAATTAGTATTCTCAAGGACGCGTGGCGTGAAGCGTCGATGCCTATCTCTGTGCCTTGAAATTTCGCATCCCGATATTGGTATGCATTGTCTACCAGCCTTACCCGTGCCATTTGTTGGTGACGAATCGTGAAGAGCAGGTATACCTTGCGATTCTTATAGCTGACGAGGACTTGACTCAAAACCGCACCGACTAGAGCCTCCGACGCCCCACAAGCGCACCAATTCCGGAAGTGTGCGCACAACTCATTAAAATGCCACGCTTACCAGCATTTCGTTCGCTTGCAAGGGACCCGGCGCCATCTTCGTCCTCCGCACCGCCTGAAAAACACAATCCGAAAACACATGAAATCAGACTCGGAGGAATGAATTTCACCATTACACAAGCAGATTAAAAAGTCAGCTCCTTTTCAATCAGGCAGCACGACCGCAACAGGCGTGATGCGATTTGGAATCCCTTCAATAAAGGCAGAGTCACGATGACGTCAGCAGCCGCCCGCTTACCCGTCCAGCTGATGTCAGCGATCATCGGCAGGTCAGGCAGCACGGAAGGCAAGTCGAGCGCCGGGACCGCCTCCAGGGTTGGGCGGAAGGCGAACTGCTCCAAATCGTCGACAGCCTGCGGGGGGGAGGGGTGAGGAGGAACAACTTGATCCATCCTCAGCCGGAATAGATGGGTATGGATCAGATATTGCAAGAATCCGCACACGGTGTACGAGGAGAATGGTCCTGAGCGGAGGTTTGAATGGGAAAGATTTCGGCGATCTTTGGCAACCAACGAGGTGGGGCGCCGAATATAAGGTAACTGACCAGCACATCCCCCTGGATGATGGTCCGAGGCGGTTTGCTGGGGGACGCCTTCGGCTTTGGCTCCTTTGGCTTCTGTCCCCGAAGCGGAGAGGCCTGCTGAGACCGTCCACTCTGAGGAGCAGCGGGCCTGGCGAAAACGTGGTGGGGGCAAATTAGGTCTGTCATCCGCTTCTCCAATCACATGAGGCTGCCCAGCGAGCTTCTGCACCTCACGAGACGAGGTCCCCTGATTTTTATACTGCGATCCAAGACGTGAAGGCGTATCCCAAAATGCTCAGGCATGCTCGAAGCTCCGTTACAGCACCCAGGGCCCGGGAAGTGGGGTCTCGAAGTGCGCTCACCTATCCAAGATACTTTCGGTGGTGTCAAACAGGAGGAGGTTGGCCGTGGACCGGAGGTCTGCCGGGATTCTAGGGCGTTCGGTCTGCGAAAGAAACTGAACGTACTGATCATCCCATTCTCACAAGCGCAAAATATCAAGACCACCCCCTCGGACGGGACGGGTTAGTTTGAAGCTACACTTCAATCATCATTACTGTTTCAAAAACTTATCAAAAGAAGGACCCTTGAGTGAGCAACCCCAAGAATCTGCTGATTAACATCCAAACGTTTTGACGACAGAAGGTGCGATTTCGGGCGGCAAAAAGCTCTTGGAACGCGACGTTAAATGTTGCAAGTACTGGGATCCATTGGCTGCACCTTCTACAATGATTGCTCTTCCAGCGCGAAAGCGTACACTCGATGAATATGCGATATGTAACCGAACCAGGACATCTAGTAAGCTCTGAGATTGTACTGTATCCGCGTTTCGAGGATGAGGCTTGCACACTCACCTTTTCGTCTTTGATTGGTGCTTGGTTGGCGGCTGCTGAGAAAAAGCGGAAGAGCTCCAGCGCCTCCTCAGTGCCCTGCGGACGGGCCTGGTCCAGCAAGCAAAGTCACTTTCAGTGCATGGACAAGTGGCGTCACGAAATACGTTTTTGTCAATGACAAGGACAGCACTTGTCCTGCTTGAGTACCAACAGAGTGCATCCCCGAGAACCTGACAGACTTGTGAGTAAGGCTTCCTCGGCAATTCGGGCATGGATACTGGGAGGGCTTCCTTGACAGAAGAAGACTTGAACCAAGGAAGAGCCAGCTCGATCTAATTGAAAGCGACACATTCGAGTCACAAATACCTGGGCATGGGAGGAAGTATCAAGAGTGGAAAGGAATGGTAACTGAAATAAAGAGCGGCGTCGGTGCTCTTCTAGAAAGGAGTCAAAGCTGACGCCTGACTGAGATAGCTCGGCCTACCTGCCGGTCGCCCCTGAATGGGATAGCGCTAGGAATTGCTTGCTGAGGGCCATCAGTGCGAGCAGTCCGAATACCGAAAACTGGCTCATAGTCGATGTTGTGCTGTGCTGGATACTTGGCGCTTGAATAGATCGTGATGGCCTTGGTGGAACCGGTCAGGGATGCAATCTTTGCCTGTAAGGGCCAAACGGTCGTCAAACCACATATCGCCCTTCACTTCTGGGTCTGCCATTTCCAACAATTTATCATATTGTGAATGGTCTGCCTGCGTCTGCCTTCAGGACGGGTTAGCAATTTTTCAGTCCTAGGAAAAGCTGGCTTCTTCCTGAGAATCCTCTGCTTCCATGGGCACTGAACATCTTGCCACAGGATTAACCAGGTGGGACTCTGATTTTCTCCGCCTCCGCAACACACTACTTGGTTGTTTTGGCCGCAGGCTTAGAAAGGGAGTACCTTACCTCCGCAGACCTGATCCGACTGCTTATCGCACGCAGACGGCCCCGCTCTGACTCCACCTGCAATTGCCCGTGATTGATAAGGGCCCCAGCTCCGAGAAGACAAAAGAAGCCAACCTGCTAGTTATATGAGAAAACCCGTGATGAAGAGGCATGAAGCTTCGCAGAATCTCACGTAGAAGCTGACACCGCAACCATTGGGACAAAGTTCCCTTGTTTGAAATGATGGAAAATTGCGACAAACCTACCTGGCATTTCACCGTGAATGCTATCTGTTGCACCACTATATAATCGTCAAACTCAATGTTCTGAGGCTAGCATCAACGGGCTTATGCAAGAACACCACCATCAATTTCTCCCCCAAGTCTTGGATCCATGGATTGGGCTTACTTTAACATGAGACCTCCAACCAAGGTCTCTGTGGGGGAGACAAAGCTAAGAAGTGCCTACTCTGCTCTCCACCAGATCGAAGACGGCTGTTGCAGTAGACTGTAATGCTTGCAGCGCCTGGCACAGCTGCGCATATGTTTCTGCGGGCCTCAGGCCATGGGCCACCACTGCGCAAGCAGATAGACTGCAGCTTAAACGTGAAAGAAGCAGGCTGCATATGTATGTGGAGGCCGTTTTGAGAATGCTCTTATGGTCAGTCTCATTTGATTCAAATTGAAGACCGTTGGGTCATTCTTAGCAGCGAAACGTTAGGTCATGGTCAATAAGTTGGATTCACATCCTTGAAATTCATTCTAGAGACCGGGCTTTCATTCTGTCGGTAAAGCAGATTTAAGAGTTCCCCTTCTGGTGGTGACGCAAATATGATGGCCCGAACCATTCACCATCGCACCACCACCAGAAAAGACAAACATCTATCGCTTTGATTTACTTCCTGCATTAGCCCTCCTATCGGACCACTTGTACTTGATTCGACGTTGGGCGGTCTGTTACGATGTGTACTTGGAAGCAGGACTTCTATGTACCACCATCTGCTCCAGTCTGTCTATCAATCAATTATGAACACTCAGCACAGATGGACTGAACATTTACTGAACGCAAGGAGGGGGGAGCACATGTCCAGAGCGAACAATACATCATTGGCTAACACAGAAGAGGCCAAGAACTCCTAGTGCTACACCCCCAGCCTTAAACTGAGTGACTGCCACCACCCCCTCCACATCAGACTTTATCATGACTTTATCAGATTGTGGAGGCGTCCAAAAACCAGCTCAGCAGCGCCATCAAATATCTGTTTACCCAGCTCGTTCAGGATGACAAAAGATCTCACGTGGTGTCCGCGGCCAGAGCTCACCTGGCACTTCGTGAACTTGGGCGGCCATGATCGCCGTCCATCAAAGCTTTGCAGCAAAGTTTGCTGCTGCATTGCATTCAAATGAGAAGGTCTGCACCTGCTTTTCTGCAACATTTGAGCTGCGCGCGCTTACTCGCGTGGCACGTCCTTCAACTGTTGCCGCGCGGCCGCAAGTGCCTGCAGCGCGGGCGCCGCGTGGGCCGGCCGCGCCGCCGCCCGCCTAAGTTGCAACTAGTTGACGATCGGATGTATCTCATCTCTCACGAAGGGACGTGTTCGCAAGACAATTCGCACTCACCAAAGTGGCAAAGACTGATCTTAGCTTCTCGCTCCTTTGAAGCTGGATCGTTTCTCCATCAACATGACATCGGAGCAGGCATTGACCAGCCTAAGGCATGCGCACATGTGAACGTCAGCTTCTGTTAAGGAGGAGCCGCGCGGTACAGGAAGCTATCGTCAGCCGTGAAGCCGTCCAGCAAAGCTGACAAAGCGCACTCCACCAAAAAGTAGACTTGTCCCATTACATTCTCGATCCTTGAGCATGCACTAGTGCATGCTGCGTTGAACGTCCGCCAGCTCATGAAGCTGGTGCTGAGACTCGCAAGGATGAAATATGTCTCTGTGGAGCCTCGTGTGCCTTGCAAGAGATCGCAGACTCTGTTGCAAAGGGGAACGTTTGACCTGCTTGGAGCAGGCTGGCAGGGCATACTCGCCATGAAAGCTGCCGCCGAGGGGAGAAGATACGCACTTCGACCAAGGCCGCCATCGATCTTTGCATCGAGATCAGGTTTGGCAGGGATTCTCCTCCGAAGTCAAGGCCGACGAAGCCCTCGAAGAAAAGATTTACTTCAGCAGGAAAGGACTGACCGCATGGTGCACCGTGCTGCTCACTCGTCGCAGAGGTTCGAATTCGTGTAACGAAGCTCGTGGAACGCAATCGCTTGAGCTCTTAGTTTAGGTGCATGTGCTGGATTATTGTTCGGACAGCTAAGGGAACTGCTTCGCTGTGTCCAACCAGACACTGTCTGAAAGAGAAGAAATGGCACCTGCCAGCCACAGGTGGACCTTTATAGGTGCGGCAAGCATTGCTGTCTTCACGTTAGTCACCATCCTAATGGTCAACACGGAACTCAGGTTTGGCAGCCTGCCGTGGGATAGAAAGCCGGACGTGTGGAGAGTAGGCGAAGGGTTAAGTCATGACCGCATCCAAATGCTGCTGCATGGGGCAGAGCAGGGACCGGGGGGAGCCCCCATGCCGGCGGCGGCTCCAACCAGAGCGCCGAAGATAGCGTTCATGTTCCTGACACGTGGCACCATCCCGCTAGAAAGCGTTTGGGACCGCTTCTTCCAGGTGAACCTGTAGATTGTTTCGAAGGAACTCCCGTTCTCCTTAGCTTTGAGTTTTGTCCTTCTCCTTCCGATTTCAGGATTTCGTCTTGAGTGCCTCGTAAGAAACAAGAAAAAAATCCTTGTAAATGCAGCTCTACTTTTTCTTTCGTTCTTGAGGTAGGTACCACAAGTGCTGCTGTTGTGCTTTGAAAGTTGCATCAGTTGTTATTGAACATTGTAGGATGGACTCAGAGATACAAGTATATATCAGGCGCGAGCGCACCTTCGATGACGAGTTGGTCAGCAGAATGACAATGTCTGGCATCTCAAACGGTGAGCACATCGTCTTTCAGTTCCCTTGTGAGAAACACGAACAGGTTGCTTACGTTTGATCTGAAAGTCAGCACCCTTCCTATCAAGAGATTCCGCCACAAATCACGCGAGAGTCCCTTCCCGAGTTCATGACCTTTCACAGTATTTCACAATATTTGACAATATAAGTGTTATCGAGCTAGAAGACAAATTCATGGGGTTTCAGAATGTTTTATTGGATGGTGAGCTGAACGAAGTTCGTATTTGTGTCTTCCAGGGTTACGAATGGTTGTATTCTATCTACGTACATTCCCGTCCCGGCTTTACCCTCAACGAGACAACCAGCAACAGCACTGTATTCCGGGGCCGCAGCATCCCAAGTGAAGAGGTCAGATACTGAAACCCGGCCTTTCCCTTATTGAGGCCACCTTCAGAGTTCGAACGGGAAAAGCAAAGTTACAATTGAGCGCTTCTGTGCATGACCAAACTCTTAACTTTGAAGCCAGCGGTGCAAAACGATCAATGCTCAATTTGTGAATATCAGAAGAAGACAGGAGTGTCCTGCCCAAGTCGAAGTCACCTGGGCATATTCCACTTTGCGGAAGAGGTCAACAATAGAGGGAGTCTCTGATAAGGGGAAGCGCTTCGCTTGTACTGAGTCCGGTCTCTGCTATTCCTCTGACATCATGAAGTCAAGTGTGCTGCAAGAGGTTGGATTCAATTTTAGACGGCTCAAGACGCATGTTGAAGAGATTCGTCTGACTTTTATCAAAACCGCACGACCGACTCCTGCAGTGACTGCACGAGTCTCCTTTGGTGAGAAAGCATGCCCAAATCTTGCAGCGGATCTCGACGAACTTTCTTCGAAACCTGGAGAATGCAGGACACGGTTAGACGCACGTGTCTCTGGCAATTTCAAAGCAAGTCTACGATATTGTTGTCTTTTCTGCCAAAAGGCGGCTCCCTCATTCATTGGCCCCAATCTGTCAGGTGTTCTGGGGCGGTATCACCGTAATCGACGCAGAGAGGCGATTGCTTGCACGCGCCCTGCGGGACCCCCTCAACGAAAGATTTGTCCTCGTATCAGAGACGTACGTTCCCGGCCCTCCTGCACTCTCATTTGGCCGAACTGCAAGAGCGCATGATGGCAAGGTTCCAGATATCAATCTGCGTTGATTCAAGGAGACGGCCTTGGGCTCTTTCACCATCATCCTTTCTGTAATTTTCCAATGGTGATTCTTTGCTCATCTTGTCTCAGCACAGAATCTTGGTACGTAGATCGAAAGTGAGCATACCGACGCCCAACCCTGCTCTTTTCTTAGGTGCATACCTGTGTGGACCTTCCCGTACGCGTACGAGTACCTCATGGGGACCGGAGTCAGTATGCTAGACAGGTGTGCTCGGACGCCCGGCTCTGAGGTAGTATCTTCAGAAAAAGCTGCGCTGTTCTTGGAGTTTCTGCGCCTTCCAAAGAACCTGGCTTGTTTTGTCGGCCAGTTAGGCTTGTACCGACTAAGAAAACTGCCTGGCTGGTTTGCAGCTTCATCGACGGCGGCCCGGTCGTACTGGGGCGCTACCAGCCGTTGATGGCGCCGGAGGTCAGCGCGTGCGAGTGGCGGAAAGGGTCGCAGGTGGGCTCATCATACTCTTCCTTCTAGTGGCTAGAATATCCAAAACCATATGAACGGTGCGCAAAAGTTGCTCTTCTAAGCAGAGAAGGGAAAACCAATGCCGTAGCTACCTAAGGCGCTCCCCGCGCCAGGCTAAGAGTTGGATTCGCCGCTCAATCACTCCAGATCCTCGATCTGAGTAACAGTGGATTCGCATCGTCGCTTGTCCTTACCTATTCATTTTCATCTGTGCGTGTGCAGTGGTTCGCGCTCACTCGACGGCACGCGTCAATCGTCGTGCGGGACAGAAAGTACTATCCAAAGTTCCGGGACCACTGCCTGGTAAGTGCAACCATCATAGTCACCTCTTTTACTTTTTTAAGCATCGTCTGTTTACTCTGCTTGGGTTCCAGAGGACGTGACATGGATGGGAGTCGCAATCCACGAACAAGCCAATCTTTGCTCTGTTCTCCGTCGGTCTGTTCGGGCGTCTAGAGTCAGCGCTGTGTCATGCGCGTACTTGCACCAACATCGAAATAGCAGATTAAAAGAGAGTCAAAAAATTTCATCTTCATTTCGTGAGGTTGAGAAACATCTGGTTGGAGACTTTCTTGTCGGAATGCCAGCGTCTATTTGTTCCGCCCTTTATCGAGCCGCCCTCTTTTTCGATGAGTCTTCCTGAAAAGCAACTACTAGAGTGCGGATCACAACCAAAACCGACTTACTTACAATAACCGGGATAATGCGCTTTCTGTTCCAAACTGTGTCTTCGTTTCGGTGCACAGAACGACCCTGCTCACAACTTCTGCTACCCTGACGAGCATTACCTCCCGACTCTCATGAACGTGAGTACGACATACTCCTGAAAGCCGAATCTCAGTGCCGCGGTTCACTTAGAACCTCACATTAGGATGTTTTCTACTCCTCGTTCTCGTAAGGCATCGACGGCCGTCCGATCTGCAGTTGCTGGCCCTTGTACGATCCAGACACAAGCACTGCGCCGACCGTGAATCTGCATACCAATCAGCGGAGCCAATTCGGATTCTAATGAAATCCTTGCCAGCTTTGGAAGTTGCATTCCGTCTCTCAGGTCTCCTTAACCGCGAGGCCCTAAAACGCGCCTCCTTGTATCTGATTGAAGCTCGACTGACGTAGATGCTGCACCAACGAGTAGTGGATTCAATCTTGTATCAAACTTTCGCTGACGTAGCCCCATCCGTGTTTCTCCTCAAAGCAACAATCCCTTGAGGAGCTCACCCTTTGTTGGGATTCTCAAAACTCTCTCCAACCGGAGATCTAAGTTGCGTTTAAATGCATTGACTGGTGACAGGCGCTGGATCCTGCTGGTATTGCCAACCGGAGCACCACGTTCGTCAAGTGGTACCCACACTCGGCGCACCCATTCCTCTTTCACTCGGAGCACTTGACGGCGGACGTAATCGAGACCGTAAAGGTTCGTATAAGGTTCCAGCTGTTGTCTTAACTAGCCACGTTCAAAGTTGATTGATGCTCTTTGCTCAGAGTCCGAGTTCTCTTTTCAATCTCAAAGAGTCGGTGAGCCGGTGCGCCCCGCACCAGCTGGATACCGTATACGGGAACTAGCGGCAGCACGCCTTGTAAACCTGTACTTCGTTAAGAAGATGGTCCTAGCTAGAAGTGGTTTGAGTGGGTCATATCAGCAGCCCTAAAGGCTGTCCACAGGGCGGGGCGCCTACACCATCTTCGTACATTTCACTAAACATCGTCGACGCGTACGATTTGTTTTCAAAGCACAGCTCGAATGTAGTGTCCATCTTAACTTCACACACCCTCTCTTGTTCTGTTAGCTGCTTTTGTCTCTACCCATAGCCGATGTAGAGGTTTTCACGATAGAAAAGAAGGGGAGGGAAAGTTTCTTTTTTCGGCACGCCGCAGCTTGGGCCGCCCAATATTTTCCGGATGATGGCTTCAAACGGAACGGAACCCTGGCGTCAAGATTGAAAAACAAGAAACACTCCATAGGACTCGATGAGGTCACTTGTTCCCTGCAGGACTTAACCAAGTACGGTCCCATGCCGTGCCTGTGGAACGGCCGCCTGCGCCCGTGCTTCCTCTTCATGAGGAAGATAGACCTGGACGCCCTCCCGAAGATCCTTAAGATGCCTAGACACGTTCTAGAATACATGTAAAAACACGCCTAATTCGCGATCGAGCAGTGATGTCAAGAAAGTTCGTAGTCGAAATAATCTTAGGGATGGCCGGCCAAGATTTCGGGCACCGACAAGCAGCCGCGGATATCCGAATAGCTCTATAGGGACAGGCTAGATCGAACATAACAAAGAGATTATCAATTGGAAGGAACTGAGTGAAGCGATAGGCATGCATGTTTCGGGCCCGACTTTCCCAAGTAACGCATATAGATTGGATGCGCTCCACCCTGCACGTTTACTGAACTTTTTCGACCCGCCAGGCGGTGTTTGCCATGACTGTATGCAACCTTAGCAGCTTGACATATGCATAGATCCTTATCATTTACAGCGCTTCGCAGGCCTTTGATTGGCAGCAGCAATTGCAGGCCGCCGTAGATTGGTCAAAGAAAATGTTTGCTAAGGATTTACCTCAAGCTGAACCGCGCGCAAAGTCGAGTCAAACCTCTGTTCAGGTTGATGCCGTGGCTCCTGATCGATGCAAATCTAGCTGAGCGACTGGACAGTCAAATTGAGACCGCGATTCACTACTTGACGGGCTGTCAACATGACAACAGATTCGACTTATCTCGTCGACTGCGGCCGCGGCCGCGGCACTTGAGTTGGCGACTGCATGACTGTTGACAAAGCGTCCTGTCTGACATTACGATGAGCTGACGACGAGCTGACGACCTGCATGACTGGTAATGCAGAAGTCCTGCAGACACACGGCTTAGCTCTCGACGATCTGATAGCGGATGCTGCATGCAAATGTTGGCGCAATGCAGGCTCAATGTAAGTATGCCGCATGCCGCCTGCGCTGCAGGAGCTTCGGGATCAGCTTCCATTTCAAGCTCAACCAGAAAGCAAGAAGAAATCGTTGCGCTCTGTCTGATAGAGGTGAAAGACATCAAATCCTTGTGAACAGCCTCTGAGCTTCCGCATGGCGAGCAAAAATGCGCGTATGCGCTCAGGAGGGCCCTTGCAGAAAGGCCAATCCAGCGACAGCTTTGGTGGCGTCAGCTTTGAGGCGCTCTGTCCGGAGCTTCTGGATTGCATCTTGCAGAAGGCCATCAAAAAGCATCCAATCAGCTTGAAGCATCTGGTGCGAGTCAACAAAGCCTTCCGGGACTCTGCATGGCGGTGCACAACAACTCTCGTGATTCCTAACCCTCGCTTTAGGGGCAATGATGAGTCGGAAGCAGATGTGAGTGCAGCCTTGTTGGAAGAGACTAAACTTCGACCAAACCTGTCGAAACTGGTCACGGGAAGCGAGGTCGAAGGGCGCCTTTGGCCAGCTCTTTCAGCCGTTCGGTGGAGCAGCATGGAGGCAAGTATCTCGGAGGGAAGCATCAGCGGTTTTGTCAAGCTCCATTTGGTGTCGAGGGACTCTCTGAGAAGACTGGAGATTGCATTGGACGGATGCTGGAGGTACCATTACGACATCCTGTACTTCTTGCAAGCCTTTCCGATGCTAGAGAGCCTGATCCTTCGTGGAGAGCGATGCTTCCCAGGACCGAGCTGGGCCCACACTGGAAAAGATTACGAGCGCCTGATGGAGAACCCAAACAGTCTTACCAGTCTGGACTTTACCGACATCGACTTCGAAGATCTGGCGCATGCTTCGTCTTTCCTGCCAGCTTCCCTGCGCGATCTTCGCTGTCTGAGGCTCCAGTGCGGCAAGGATAGGTATAATGTAGAGAATTCCGGATCAGCGAGGCCCGCATTACCGTTCGACGTTCTTTCCACACCCCTGGCGCATCTCCAGACCCTGCGCCTCGACGCTTGGGATCACCGCTCTTCCGGTTCCATGCTCGAGAAGGTGGCGCAGTCTTGCCCCAATCTGCAGAGGCTTTTCCTTCACGCCAGTCCGCACTCTACGGACCGCTGCACCGCAGCTGTGAGGCCCATTCTGCAGCTTCCTGAGTTCTCGGAAAAGTGTCCCGACTTGAAAGAGCTTGTAATCAGCCGAGGCGAAGTGATCTGGCGGGGCCATTTCTTAGCCCTTGCTCGTGAACACGGCTTGAAAATGAGGACGTCCGAATCAAAGATACTCATTGTCGATGACGAAAGGTGTGAGGGGAGGGAACGTTGCGGGGCCCTGTGCTCCGTGACCGTGCTTCGTTGCATCCTTCCACACAAAGCGCCCTGGATTGACTGGGACGACACGGAAACTCGTAAGCGCGCTGTTGGGGAAGAGGCTACAGTCCGCAAGTGGTGCAAGGCGTTCTGTGCAGCGGACCCGTGATGCGAGCAGGTATAGCTGCTCCCTTAAAGCTAGTGCGTGGCAGTCTTAGGAATAGATGCGAGCGACAAGAAAGTCACGAAGATAGTGGGTGGTTAGTCATCAAACTGAAATGTGTCGATGTCGGCTGTAAACGAGCATCTTGTCAAGAAAGCTAAGAATGAGAGGATAAGACTAGCGAGACCTGGATTTTGAAGCAGGAAAAAGCAAGTCTAAGGAACCGAAAGGCTGTAGAAAGAGATAAGGGGATATGGAAGGAGTACCAGAAATTAAGGGCCAGATACAGAATCTTCGGAGGAAGTGAGTACCTGATCAGAAATGTCGAGTTTCCGAAAATCTCCTCCTCTTGCCAATCTGACGAGTGCTCTAGTAGAGCTAGTCGTGTGACTACCATCTGGACAGCTCATGAACAAGTGGCAATCGTCAATAAACTTTTGTAAGCCCTCCCCGCTCCATACGGAAGGCTTCGTTCGTAATGGCAAGATAGACTTTGCTTTCATTCGTCGGCTGATTATGTACTGTCATACCATTGCTGCTGTCAGCAGGATTCCAGTGATGACCTTTGACAAACAACATTCGCGGACCAAAGTTACCATATGATTTAAAATGTCCTTTATTTTTACGCGAGGTTTCACAAGCAATCTGAACTTGTTGCACCCAGGAACAGGACTGTGGCGTGTCCGTGCAATAATCTACCTGCAACATCTTGCACATCTGTTCACCAAGGAAGTTCTTTGAACCATGTGCACAAGGTTCTCATTCAATCACTGGCAGTATATCCAGGCATTTGGGCATGTAGTTGTACTCATGCTTGATGAACAAAGTTTTACACCGCGGAAGCTTCAGTGCGTTGGCGGGCCTAAGAGTTTCTGGACAGTTGATCAATGATGTACTTGAAGACGGTTGTCTTACAGGCACGGCTCCGAACTAAAGATGAGAATGATCATGTTCGATCGAGGCGTTCTTGCACCTGTCAAACACGAGCTGCCCCGGATGTATATGTGGCGCTCAGGCATGATAGCATTCCAAGACATGCTATGGGATTGCATGCACGAGGAGCGTGATCCTCGCAGGATTTTTAGGGATATTCATATATGCAGAGGGTGGTTTATAGGCTATGGAGCCGTGGAA